GTGGTCGAGTTGTTATTAACCCAGCTGTATTACGTTATCTTGAACAAAATCGAAATATAAATTATTCATCAATAATAAATAAAACACGACAAGCAACAGATGAATATTTCAATAAAAATACATTAATAAATGTAAATGATGAAAAAGATGATCATTTATTGGATGATTTATTTAAAAATTTTGATGTACAAGAATCAATTGTTAACCATAATAATAATAATAATAATAATAATAATACATTTAATCAGCCATTATTAACGCCAACAATTCATTCAAATCAACAATTTATATCAATTCATGAATTTATTGAACTTGATAAACTTATACAAGATGATCTCTTTTGGGATTTTTGTACATATTCAACAGATTTCTTAACAAGTGCTCGACTTGCTCAATGGATTCTTACTCATCAATAATGCTTAAAAAAACGCTCCAAATAATAGCATTATTAAATTAAAAAAAAAACTTCGTTTTGTATTTAACAGTGAATTACAATAAATAAATTTAAATACAATAGTAAACAAGTCTTTCATCACTAGAGCCCATTGGGTCCGAAAGTGTTCCGACTCAGACCCGATCAAACAGTATTTTGATACTCTCAATGAAACTGTTTAACTGAAATTGAATAGTTGCCCTAGAAGTATGGGATACATTTTTCTGATTTTTTCTATTCGACTACTAGGACATGTGGTACATTCCACAGACGATAACCCATGAAAAAAAAAATGACTCAAAATCAGATGAAAACCGATTATTTTTGAATTCATAATCTACTATAATGGCACTATTTTAATCTTTTTTAATCTATTTTGGTTAATTAAAGCTTGCTAACTGATTAAAATAGTGTCATTATAATAAATTTTAATCTTATTTCTCGTCGTTTTTTTTATAGGTAGAGCTCATCACCCTATATCGCAATTAGAAGTCGGACAATTCGTGCTCATATGCTCCACTACCGAAGAAGTGTTTTTAATTGACTAATTGCTTTCTCGCCAAATGTTACTGTATTATACATGATCGATCATGCTGATTTCGAATATAGCTATAAAAAAAATCTCTTTAGGGTTTTTATGACACTGTTTTCCAGGCTGACAAAAATATTGTGCAAGAATCGTTTTTGATCTACCACAAATCAGTGACAATAACTAATATGTTTGTACTTAATACTTTTGTAAAAAAAATTTTACGCTATTAGAAGAATGATGGAATATATTGCTTTTTTCATAATTACTTAATTAACAAATGATACTAATTTGTTTATTACAAAGAAATAAATGTTGAGAAAAACATGATCATTTCTTAAAATGTGGTTCCGTCACGAAGCTCTTTTCTTTTTCAAAAGCAATTTTCTTTATATTTTCCCAATTTTCTTTTTTCCTATGAATAGTATGTCATTTTTTAGTTTAGCTAATTTTTTCCATTGTTTACGCAAGGCTTAAACTCGGTAGTCATTTTACATGATTTCATCATGGTTTTATATTTCAATTATAAAATTATAAAGATAGTCTTGAATCAAATGAAATTTTCATCGGTTGTTTGTTTTAAATATACATTCTTAAACTTTCAACTTTATTCCATTAAAATGTCGAAAATATAAAATTAAATTAAAATTTACGACATATGATGATTGCCTGTCGTTATATGATTTATTTCAACAGACAAAGTATATGAAAACCATATTGCTCAATACTGTCACAGATCGACCTCTACAATAACTTTAATGTCGCTTTTTAAAAGGGAAAGAAACTAACTAACTAACTAACTGTACAAATGATGATTCATATTTTGAAAGTAGTTATCATCAAACATAAAATTTGTCTCCCTTCTCATTGATAAACTAGTCAAATTCTTTAAATTAAAAAAAATGGCTTCACAAATAGCTCGTCGATTAATTATCTTAGGTGCTCCTGGTTCGGGTAAAGGTACAATAGCTAATCGAATAGTCAAAACCTATGGTATGCCTTATATTGTTGTTGGAGATTTACTTCGTCAAAACATTCAACAAAAAACAGGTATTTAATCTTGATGCAGTTTTCTTATATTTTCTTATTATTTTTCTTCTATTAAGACGAAAGTAGAACAATTAAAGAACATGTTGATAAAGGTCTTCTTCTACCTGATGAACTTATATTAAAATTTGTTGTTGATGAACTTGAAAAAAATCGTGAACAAGGATTTTTACTTGATGGTAAAAAAAAATATATGAATAGAAATTTTTAATTATATATATATATTTATTTATTTATTTATGAAAGGTTATCCACGTACATTAAATCAAGCTGAAATGTTATATCGACAAATGAAAGTTGATCATGTTATTGCACTACATGTACCTACTGATGAAATAATAAATCGTTTAAAAGATAGATGGATACATTTACCAAGTGGACGAGTTTATAATCTTCTATGGAGTCCACCAAAAGTATCTGGTAAAGATGATCAAACAGGTGAACCATTATCACAACGTGAAGATGATAAACCTGAAGTTCTACGTCATCGATTAAATACTTATGATAAAAATACAAATCCAATTATAGAATTTTATAGGTGAGTTTACAAATATATTTATTGTAAAAATTTATTTTTCATATTTTATTAGAAAATTGGGTATTCTTAAAGAATTTCATGGACGTGAAAGTGATAAAATTTGGCCTGAAATTAAAAATTATCTTGATCGTTTTCTTAAAGAATCCGTACCACAAAAAACAGCTGCTTAAAGCAACAGTATTATTCACTCCATGCAATATATAATTTCGTTCAAAGAGAATTTTATCATGAAATTCTTAGATTCACTTTGTTTTGCTTTCTTTTTTATTGTTGATGAATAGATTTTGTTATTCTTTTGATAAAATACAATTGGTTTGCAGATAAATTTCATACTGATAGTAACAAGTTTCAATGTATCGACCCTCGTACTGTATAATAAATGTTTCTCTACGAATAACATTTCTCGTGGAATTGTTTTTCCAGTGAAATAATACAGTAAAATATGTTCTTTAAAATAACTATAAATTGACCCCGCCCGATCATTGAATAAGAAAGTTATACGTCTAAGAAACATCTCTCATATCTGAAAACTCAGTGTGGCTTAAATAATGAATTCGCATTGCAAACTACTTTGAAATTATTTTATGTTTAATTAGATATAATCGGATTTCGTATATTATTTCTATCGTTAAAAGGGAAGAATTCTACGTAGACAACAAACATTGCAGTAAAAAGCTATTTTCTTTCGCTGTGACTTTTTTTAGATCTAGGAAAATTGCTCATAACGCAAATAAAGAGATGTACTGGGTAAGCTTTCTTTGTATCTTGTACACTGACTAAGAAAAACTTCCTAACCTATTGCTTGAATGAAGGTAAATATATTTTTGATGTACAGAAACTACTATAAGCTGAAAAGTTTTTTTTCGCTATTGAAACAGTAGACAAAGATATGGAGGATCTCGGCAATGAGGCGATCTATGTTCTCAAACAATTTTTGTAGCAATCAAATTTTGTTTTCCGAAGAATTTAAATCTATTAAGTCTTAAGCTGCTTTTGTAAATCGTTGTTTTCTCATGTTGATAAGAATAGCTATTTGTACAGAGGTATTTATTATACAACACTTCTAGGTTATTCTGAATATGTGATCAATGAACATTTTGGACTATATATATATTACACAGTAAGTCTCAAAGCAGTTTGCATGGTAATAGAAAAGCCTTATTTGAAAAATTTTATTTTTTCAAAGTTATTGATCTGATACTTTGTGTTTTTAGAGACGCGATAATAAAGTTTTAAGTAACATTTTTTCAGTAAACAATAGTTTATAAAGTTTTCTATAACGAATAGTGTTAGTGATGAATTGCATGGTTTGATTTTTGTCAATTATTTATGCCTATGTCCATGCTAATTGACATTCAGAACCAGAATGTTAACATAAAGCTCATAATCTCCTAATTAAAATTATATATTTATATGAATCGACGACTTAGAAATGCATGTGAACACTTATTGATTATCTGGAGTTTTCTTGAACTCCGTAAGAGTCATTGTGATGTTATGCTCCTTTAAGTACGCGTTGAGAACATTAAATACTTTATATTGATAACGTCAGTCAATCATACGTAGTTGTTATTCTTATAACAGAACAGTTCAAAGTTACATTTGACTACTAAATGAACATACATAACTTCAAATGCCTTGAAAATAGACGACAGAAACACCATGAAAAAGACTACATAAATATAGTTCAAACTAATTACTATAGTAATAATATTGTATATTTCATTTTTTTTTCATCATATTAAGCTAGCACGAACTCACGCTGACTAATAAACAATAGCCCTAAAGGTGATCGTGTTGATGTTGAAGTAAATCGAATCAGATAACGATGATTATCAAGTGACAAAATCTGTTAATGATTTCTTTTCTGTTTTTCTTAAGCATAAATTTAATCATATCATTCGTTCACATGTAATGAAACATCTCATTAAACAATTCTAGAATTTTTGGACATTTCAATATTTTCAATTAATAGCACAAAAAAAAAATTTCTTTTCTTTCATCTAGAATTCGATCTCATCAAAACGAAATTTATCAAGATGAACAACAAATACTGAGACAGATGGTCAACTCATAGATATCTATCGATAATAATTCTCACAACTATTGTCTTTTTCTTATTTGACCGACAGCTGGTTTTATTTTCTTTCCTTTCTTTTTCTCTTTCATTGCATTTTCGAATTAAGAGAAAACGATTGTTGGCCGCGGTGTTTGTCATTCATGCGAATATATGAATAAAGAGAGAAAAAAACACGGACAGTCAACACAATTTCAAGAATACGCCGGTCAAGATATTGAACGAAACACAAAATAAAAGACAACGACAATTATTACATACATTTCCATTCGTCCGCCACACCGTAATATATAATAACCGCTCCCGTCTACATCTCAAAATTTTCATACTATTAAAAACAATGCTATATTCAGTTTGAAAAGTAGTTATTCATAAAATGTCAAACATGGATTTATCCTGCTCACGTGTATTAACAAATTCGACAATTGCAAATCTGTCATCAGGTGCAATTGTCATACCAGCTATGAAAAATTCCTCATCAGTGAATAAAAATCTTATTAATCCTTTACATATCGGTGATGCTGCTTTACAAAAATTACGTACAATAACAACAACACCAGTTATTAAAACATCAAATAATACCATTAATACACTACCAACTGTTCTTATTATGAATAATAATAATAATTCGATTAAACCAGTATCACAACCACAACAACAACCAATGACTGTTAATCGTCTTTTATTCACCAATAATAATCCTACTGTCAATTCAACAGTAATTAATGGACAAAATACAATTAATTTGACTACACTTGTTAATAATTTAAACACCTTAAATCAAATAGCTTTATTACAATCAACAAATTCTAATATATCAACACAAAATAGTATAACAAGACTTCTTGAAACACCTATCAATGTTATTCAACCATCATCTTCATCTCCACATAATGATCTTAGTATGTTATTAGTACATAGTAGTGGATACAAGTTTCGATCATTGTCTATGTTAGCGATCAGAAAATTTGTACACACTTATTTTATCAAGAATGTAGGTCGTTAGCATTGCAGTGCCGCTATCTCTTAATCATATAGAGAGTTTTCTGAGCCGACTCTCTTGTGACGCCACGTCTCACTGATTCTACATTACTAATTATATTGGAGTTCGAAAAAAGTTTCAAAATTTTTGAGACGTGAGTCTTACACTACAGAGACATGAAACGTAGATGCTAACCTTGTTAGTTTCAAGGATGCAGAAACAAGATTCTAATCGTGTTAGACGGTGTGTAATCGAAAACATCGTTTGTTCAGATTTTATAAATCACATGCTGAAGGTACATAAATCCAGTGTGACAGTCATACCTTCAAAAGCCATGGCATAGAGAAGCATTCGAATCTTAATAGGTCCTACGTATTGACTGGGATCTTATGTCGAACGCGAGATATAGTCTTAGCTGGTTCCATTGTCAGCAAAAAAATAGGTATCATCCATGATAATTCTTTGTAATTAGGCATTAAAGCTGGCACAATGCTAATGATCGGCATTCTTGATAACGTATGTATTTATGAATTGTCAGATCTTCGATATATCCATTAACCGAGAGTAGAGATTTTTAGTTCATTACTGTATTATGTAAAACCAATTTTCATTTTTAGTAATCTCATCAACCAATAAAGAAAATGAAAATGAACAAGTTGGTACTAAAGCCAAAGCATTAGTTGAATTATTAACAAGTTCAAATATTCAACCACCATCATGTTTTGGTTCAACACTAATAGAACCAGCAACAAAAACACCATATTCGGATGCAACATGTACACGATCAAAAAAACGTATTAATCGTGTAAAACGACCAATGAATGCATTTATGGTTTTTTCTCAACTTGAACGTCGAAAAATTGTACAATTAGCACCTGATATGCATAATGCTGAAATATCAAAATATTTAGGTGCACGTTGGAAACGTTTAACAGAAAATGAACGACGTCCTTTTATTGATGAAGCTGAACGTTTAAAAATGTTTCATTTACGTGAATATCCTGATTATAAATATAAACCACGTAAACGTCTAAGAAAAGGTTTATTAACAAATAATTCATCAATACATATTGATACATCAGATACATCATCTGATGCATTATTAACACCAAAATTAGAATCAAATAACAAAAATAATAATCGTACTACTACTACTAATAATAATAATGAGAATAATTCCATGATAAATGAAAATACTTTTTCAACAAATTCAAATATTGATGATTCATTATTATCATCATTATCACAACAACAATTTGATCCACTTTTACTTGATGCACTTGTTACAGCTGATCCACAAACACAAGAAGCTTTTTTTAATCAACTTCAAGCACTTGGTGATTTCAAATTATGGGCTGATCTGGATATATCAAATATCGATGTAGCTTTATAGATAAAAAACGAACATTTAAAATTCATTATAACTTTTGTCACTATTGATATTTTTTTTTCCTCTGTGCTAGTATATATGACAAGAATAAATTGATTTTCTTTTTTATTTTTCTTGGTGATCATCATCAATATAAGACACGAACAAAATCTTGTTTTTACTAGGAACGTTTTTTTCATGATAGTACTAAAGAAACGAATCGTTTACATGTGCATATTTACATACAAGAATAAAAAAAAAACAATATTGATTTATGTTAAGAATGAATTCAAATCGAGACCATGTGCATGAGCCATATTACTTGTTGAATATGGATAACTTAACTAAATAAAGAAAAAAGAATGATTGAAAGTTTTAAAAAGAGAATGTTAAATTTCAACTAATAAGATATTCTTAGGTTTTAGCATAAGCAGTGTTTATGTAAGCGTCGATTTTACTTTTCTTTTCAATTACATTCACGCTTATTCTAGAGACAACATGTTTCATACTATTGTAGCTTTGATATTTTCCCCTTTGCATGTGTTTTCTTCATCTTTTTTTTTCTATTCCTTTCATGAAAAGCCTTATTTCTATGAATACTTGATATATTATAGTTTTTAGCAATCAGATGATGAGTTTAACACGAATGAAGTTTTCTATACGTTGTAATCTATAGTAAAATTTTTTAGATGAATGATCATGGCAAGGTTTTGAGATCTCAAAAGATATTTTCAAAGTTATAATGTGGGAGTGTTGCATCATTTTTACGATCTAGTCTTTAAAAATTGAATGAATAACAGAAATCTTAAAGAAACGAAATTTATCGATTTTTTATTTTCTCGGTTAAAGTTTTGTATATTGACAAAATTAGAGAAAAAAAGATGTTATTTCGAGCATAAAATAGATTAGCGTTTTTATCTTAGATGTCGAGTCACTGCTAGATTTTTTGTCATGCAAGATTAAAAATAAACCTGAGATTAAAAAATTCATTTATAAGTAATTGGCGTACTATTGAATGAAAGCCAGTGAATAAGAAATAAATCAATTAATAAAAGACGAAGAAAATATTCTATTGTAACGGATAAACGAATTGAATTTTTGTATTCATTCATCGAAATCAAGTAACATTGAAAGGAACAGTATCAAAAAACTTCTATGAGATGAGAAAAAGAAAAATTAGTGGCAATGTATCACGCAAGATTATAACGTGCATAATACTTCACAATTAAGGTCAAAATAAATAAAGTAGGTCGATTCTCATCTTAGGCACTATGAAAATTACTGCGAACTTATTCGAAATGATTCGATATAGAAGTCGTTCACTACAAATGATATCATATCATGGATATATTTTAAGTACTTGAAATTTATCCAACTTTAAGTTTCAAACGTATGTCATAGCACGTAAATCAAATTCTTTGTACGGATCATTTTCCAATGTTGTTTTAACGAAGTTTGAAAACGTTTCATACTTCTGCAGTTATTTGATGTATATATCTACTAGTCGTATTCAATTATTTTGAAAAGTTTTTCATGATTTTCATTTATTTCGATCATATGAATAGTTGTAGGACTTATTTTTATGTTCTAAGAGGTTAACTGTGGAGATTAAAGTAGGCTATTATAGTTAATATTTTTACTTTCAATTTATCATGATAAAAAATTCCAATATACACGCATGGTCAAAATGTCTTTGCAACTTAAGTTTTTCATCTGTAGGTTTGCGGTATTGTGTGTTGCAAAGTTTGAGTCAAACATGGCCATAGATAGAGCTTTTCAAACTTCATCACATCATCTCTTTGACGTTTAGTTTTGATATACATTATTGATTTAAGAACTCTTTTTGCTTGTTACATCTATCCTATTAGAATATAAATTTTGTCAATGAATAACAAATATTGAATTCATAAAGCTTCTGAAAAATGAATGATCATTTTTCATAATATACTGCTGAGATCAAATGTTTTCTCCTCTTCCGAAAAAAATACATTTTGTTTACACATTGTATGGTTTGAACTAGTATTCATCACCGAATAAATGTTTTCGAAAGCTGCAAAGCTTATTTTAAATGAGTTTACAGAGCACTTTCGTATATCATGGTTTCATTAGATAAAAGACTTTTGCATCGTTTATTATGTTATTCTATGAGAAGATTATTTTAAAACTTCGACTCAAGTCTAAACTTCGATAATTTTCTTCTACGCAGAGGATAACATTTCCTTACTGTGTTGATAGAATTCAATATTGAAAATTTCTTACTAAACGTGTTACTTTCGTATTCCGTATCTAAAAACGGAAACGCGTAACAGTATGACATAAAAAGGTAGATAAAGATGTATACATATCACAGTATTAATTAAAGATGATAGGAAAAACGATTTGAAGTGTATTCTCGTTTTTTTTTGAGAATATAACACTCGAGAACAATAACCTTAAGATCTCTATTTGAAACTCTACACGTCAGCACATGATGAGTCATCTTACCAACTCAGTTATTTATATTAAAATTACGCTTTTTCTATTTGACATAGAACTCTACATTCATATGGGAGTTGGTTGGCATCAATGTTTTTAAGAAAAAGAAAGATATCATCATGGGTCATTTAATAATTGAATTCAAGAGAACGTATCGTGACCTGTAATTTTGGAGAAGTCCGAACTTTCTTTTGAGTTCTCGTTCGTTGGGAACGAAACTATTTCTCACACTAGATAAGAGGCTTGTACACATCTGTGGGCCTCTGGGTTATCAAATTTAGTTGAACACTGTAGTAAAATATCTCTATTTTTGATATTTAACAAACGATGCTACTTTTTTCCAAGATCAGATATACAATAGTCAGTATCAATACATCTGTAGAATCAGTCTTTTTTCAAAGAGAGGACTCACTTGCAATTACATAATTTGTCTTTTTAAAGTTTTGAATAAGTTTACTGTCAAGTGGCAAACATACATCTTGTTTAACAGATTGGCTTATACAGAAATTCATCCTTGCGGATGGTGTGAACCATAAGATCCTACGTACTTACAGTGGGTATCAAAGTTATTCAATGAGATTTATTTTAATTGTTTTTCTCCGTTGTCTTTAGTGCTAGAAAGACCTCGCACAGTGATTCAAATAGAGAAAATTGTTCCCAACAATAATAAAAGAAAAAAAAATTATGATTAGATTCGCAAAGATAGAAAATGCAATATAATTTTGTTTAGACTACATGTGATATCTTTCTACAAAATGAGCCGCCTTTGAATTGCTCATATCATTTTTTTTTCTTAAAATACATCAACGTTACGGAAGCCTTGAAACCATTTTTTTACTATTTCCTATAGAGAACCGTTTTTTTTGACCTTCAATTAAATTGTTATATTTCAGCCAAGAAACATTACCGAGATAAACGAAATTATATTTACAATTTCTAGGTGTTGAAAACCTGGGACTTTGATTTTTTTGGAACTCTTAATCTTTGGAAACCTGATAATAGTCGTTTATTTCCTTGTTAAAAGGCAACAGAGAAAATAAACCTTGTTAAGTAATTTTGATAGCCCCTAAAGTCTGTCGAATCGAATATGGATCCGGTGGGCTCTAGTAGCCCCTGTAGATTCTCAAGTTATACAAAAAACAACGAAGTACATTATATTTGTCTACTGATATCAGGTTTTTCAATTAGGAAGAACTTCCTCTGAGTAACTGAATTTTGCAACATCATCTGCCTTTCCTTGACAGAAAGGAAAATAAAAATAAGTAAACAATATCGCTGTGGAGTAGAAAGGACTCTGGAAAGGATGATATGGTAGCAACTCATCTGTAGTGGCAGACGTTAGGACACGATGGATTTTGTTACTCCTCTCTTTCGGTCATCATTTCTAGCACTCCGAGGACGAAAGTCTTTTTTTTTTCGAATTTTAGCCAATCTCACCCATAAAAAATATCGACAAACCTGATCAATATTACTATTAACTAATGAATATGTTTATTTAAATATAGTCTCATCTGATGAAAAATAAAACTTACTTGATACGATGGTTGATTCGATTTACTACAATCAAGTGGCATCATACTATTATCTAAATCTATATAAAAACTTAATTTAAATAAAAACTTTAAAAAGAAAAGTATTTCTTACTGTCATTTGTTGTTTTATTCATCGAAGTATTAATTGCATTAAGAAGACTTTGATACTAAAAAACACAATAGAATATCTATGTCTTTTTTTTTGCTTTTATAATAAATTTTTCTTAAATTTATACATGGGTAGAAAAATCTAGAATGGTTTCGGAATAATTTTTTTGTTGTGGAATAATTTTTTTCGATCGTTTTGTTTTATAGTGTTGATTTTGTATTGTTTGATCTGATACAACAATAATATCATTCGAATGAAATAATGCTTCACATGGATCTTTATTTATAATTAATGCTCGTATTAATTTTGTTGCTGCTTTAGCATTTAATTTATGAAAATAAGTTAAATGATGAAATAAAAATATATGTTGATCAGCACGATCACAGGGTATATTTGGTACATGATGATGATCACTTAAGCCTAAGAAAGAATTGATAAAAAAAAAATGTTTTTATTTAAAAAAATATTATTTATTATTATTTTTTTACCATAAATATGTCTTGATAAAAGTGGACATTTACTTTTAAGTTTTCTTACAGCACATTTCGATTGTGTTATATGATCATTATTATGAAAAAGTCGAGTTATTGTTGGAGTATATGATACTAAAGCAAGTACAATTTTTTTTGCTGCACGTGAAGATAAATTATGATGAAATTGTAAATGTTGAAAACAGAGTACTTCTTTTTCAGCTCGTCCTACACAGAAAAACAACAAATATGAAGAAAGAAAAATTTTTTTTTTCTTAGTTTTACCACATGGAATATTTGTTATATCATGTTCATCAGATAAACCAAATACACCATCTTGTGTTAATGGACATTTACCTTAATTGAAACAAAAAAAGTTTAAAAAAAAGAACTACAATTCATATTTACATACATTTATAATTTTCAACGGATATATTTTGTTTAAGTACTCGTTCATAAATACTAAATAAATGTTCATCTTGATTTGTATTATTACATATAGCACGAACTAATTTGCGAGCTGACACACTATCAAAATTATGATACCATTGAAGATGTTGATTAAGAAAAACATCATTCGATGAACGATCACATGGAATATTTGGAATTTGATGAGATTCAGTAAGACCGTATATGCCTTTAAATAGTAAGAAAAAATCTATTAATGAAAGATATAAATGATAAAAAAGAAGAAGAACAAACCAGTTTGTATAAGTGGACACCGACATTTAAAATTCTGAACTTTTTGGTAAGACATTGAAAATAGATCTGAAATTAAAATATATAAAATTGTTTTGTGACTGAATTTTGTTTAGAGACTAATTGGTTTGAAGATAAATTAAATCTTACTATGAAAGTCCTATTGAGATTAGATAAAGTCTTGTAGGATTGGTGTTCATGAATTTTTTTGAATTATGGTCATTTTAATAATTGTCAGCCGTGGGCCGACCGAAGAGGATGTAGCACTTAGTTTATTGTGGAAAATTAATTTTTTCCCAACATTCACTGTTTACATTCTTTTAGAAGCAAGATATTCTCTCTTTGCGGAAAACCGCAACACTTCACCAAAGGTTACTGTAGTCGTCCTAAGGTAATTGTCAAGGTAAAAAAATCTTATCTTGATATATCAATACTGAAAACTTCCCTCATGGTAAAAAATAAATTTTATTCTACTATTATTAGAATATCTGATACAATTACATTGAGAATTTTCTTTGTGTAACATTTGAACTTTAAAGTCAATGTTGAAAATGATCTTGAGAAAGAGCGTAACATTCTATTGAGAAAGTCACTAAAATATTTATAATTCCTGAAGAAAAAAATCTATAGACAAGAACCTTTTGAGGCTTTCTTTAATTTCAATGAAGTCTACGTAATGATATAAGATTTATCTACAAAGTAATTTATTATTTGATGCTATAGTCTCGTTAGAAAAATCATTAAAATAAATTGTTATACTTATTAATTGATTATAAAGAAAGTTTTCTTCGAATGATACACGTTGATTTTTTTTTTAAATAACCTACTTATATACACACACTAACTATTTTGATTAAAAAGCTCTCTAAAACACAATATAAACTTTTTTTTTTATTTTAACTAATTATTGCCATGAACTATTAAACATATGGCCAACTTGAATTATTGCAGCTCTTGACATTTCATCAATTGAGTGAAGTTCTTCAAAGGGGAGAAAAAACATTTTGAATAAATAATCAAAGGAAACAACATTTTTCTTACCATTACTAAATGAACTTCATTACTTCTCTCCTTAATTCTAGACAATATGATTGTATATGTTCACTTTGTTGATCCAATTGTTGTGCAATACATTCAATAAAACAATGCTTTTTAGTCTGAAACAAAAAGAAAACAAGGTTTTATTCTTGATGATCTTATTAAATAAAATCTAAATATAACTCTAAAATTACAATTTAAAACAAAATTTAACAATTTCTCAATGTTTGCTTTGTTTTTTTGAGAAAAAAAAAGAGGGCAGATTTCTATGCTCTTGAATCGTCATTTAGAATCAAAAAATCCTTTCTTTCTTCTCATAGTGTTTTTTTATTCCATGTTTTGTTTTTTTTTTTCTTTTGATTGATTTAAAAAAGAAAAATGGTAAAATAAGGAACAAAAGAAAAATTTTTCAACCAATTGGAATTCATAATACATGTGAAAAGAATGATTCATTCTTTAAAGAACGTAGTTCATTCAGTCTGTGAACAAAAAAATAAAATAAAAATCAAAGAGAGAGATCAATGTTCTATTTAAGGGTCAATAAAAACACCCACTAATGAATCCATACAGTCATAAAAATATCATCAAAAATCGAATTTTTTCTAGAAAAAAGAAATCACTAAAAGGAAATGTCTACGAATCATATTTATATCATTCTCACTACCATTACTATCAGATTAAAAATATAGAACGCTGACATCGTGTCTTGATTGTAACATTCAAATCAAATAATTTCATTGTTAATAAATACTATAGAGTGACTGAATTATGAGTATAATCAGAGAAGAAAACAAAATGTGTCATCTATTCAGAATATTACTCAATTATGTGTTGTGTATCAAAGATAGATTATGTTGTGTATGGAAAACGGATGAAATCAAATCAATAGAAGTAATATTTATTGAAATATGTATTAGCAATTTTTAGAGAAAAGAAGAATACATATTGAATTTAATTATTATTAGTAACGGATTCAAGATTCTAGCAAATGAGCGGCCATCTCTGATCGATGTCTTCTGAGGAAGTATGCTCGTGCACATTTGATTCTTTGTAGAGTTTTTATCCAAATCAACTTAATGATTCATGAATAAACAATTTCGATTAAGACAAAACAGTAAACAATAGAATTTAAAAATCTCAACGATGACTAAATTTAGAAAATCCATCCGTGACAGAAAACTTCAATATGTAAACCTTGATAAATATGCTTCAAACGTAATCCATTAAGCCTTGTTGCTGACAATTTTGTCCTTTGAATAGGCTCTATTTTTTGAAGAATTTATTTATTTCAGGATATATTGTAATGTAACAAGGCATCTAGATGAACATTAAAACAAAAAGGTTTTGTAAATTAAAAAAGATTTACACTTCACTTGTACATGTTTAAAATGTTTCGTACAATACTGAGTAGAAAGATTAGATCTTTCTTAGAAAATGTTCAGAATAGCTAAACAGATAATTAGATTTGCCTTCTTTGTGAAATCGAAGGTGCCACAATGCTTCATTTCTAGTACTACAAAATTTTATTTATTTTCGAATTAATCACTATAATATATTTTTATAGAAATTATTATAACTCTCCAGAAACTATACTAAATATTGAAATCACGCTTTAACAAATACAATGACCATTTCTGAGCGTCTTTCGGAATTTCAATATTTTAATGCCTTTGTACAAACATAATATAGTGAGACTTTCAAAAAGACTTCTTATTTACTTCTTTTTTTGCATATGCAAGTGATAACTGGAACTCCAAATTCAAAAGAAGTCAGATTGATTCTTATAGGTTGATAATATTAATAATATGTTATTCTGACTTCTTCTTCTAGTGAGACAATTTAAACTTTCGGAGAATCGAACACCTGTTTTGGGGTACAAAGACACATACTATGTAGTTCAATGACACATCTCTTATTATTGAATTTAAAAATAGATGGAATCAAATATATATTATGATTCGTGATGTAATCATATATTTTTAAGACATTGGTAGTTGTTTACTAGAATTAATCTTTAACATGAAAAATAAATCAAAAACATGTCAAATAAACTCTACATAAAACGAAAAAAGGTAAAAATAAATCGAACTATTCTTTGACATGTATATATTATTAGAATAGATATGTTAACCACTTTTTCTTTCAATTTCTGATATGTTTACCAATAATTATCGAAGTTATTCATACATTAAAAGAATTACAAAAGAATATATAATTAATACTAAAAATTACAAATGAAGAAAAGAACGTGGACATTTTAATAATATATTATGAAAAATCGAGCTATTTATGAAAAGAAACAAATTTAATGTAAGAAGATGTTTGATTAACAGAAATGAAGAATAAATGGAATTGAATAATAATATACACTAGTGACCGATGAGTTTTATTTTTATTCTAAGAAATAATTTTTATTTTTTTTTATTCATATTATGAAAGCAACATAATTCATCCTGACAAATCGATTAAATCTTTCGAAAATTATCGTTTCGTAAACTTTCCATATCAATTAATAGTAAAATCGTGTATTTCATATTGTTGTCAGAATATGCTATTTATTCTCGATATAATTTTTTGTTAATATCTATTCGAAAATTACTTTCGACTAGTATGTTTAGGATTGAACAAGAAAAATCTTTGATGATTAATACATCAATTGAGTTTTCATTTTTTATTATATACTCAAATATTATTTACTAATAATGGTTGTTGATGTTTTTGTTGTTCTTTAGTTCTATACGTAATATAAACATAAATTAAACAACCTATTGTTGTAAATAAAACACTAATAATTTGTTTTATTGTTAATATTTCACCAAATAATGCTGATCCAACAAATACAATAAATAAAGTTTTTAATTGTCCAACCATATTATATCCAATAGCAGCATCATCTTTTATACACCATATAACACTTGAATTAACAATAAATGCAAGTAAACCACATATAAATATTAAAATCATTAGATTCCATTGAAATAAAACATACCAATTGAATTCAAATGATGAATCAATAAATATCCAACATGGTAATAATATAAAAGCTGATGTTATTGTTTGATTTTGTAGAAAATGTGTACGTTCATATGTTGATGATGCTTTATCATTTTGTACCATAGCTTGATATAATGCATTACATATAACACTTATACAAGCATAAGTAACACCTAATGGATGAAAATAAAGATCCGAATATGTATTAATTAAAGTTCCAAGAACAATAATTCCAAAAGCTAATAAAACATATAGAGAATAATCTCGAGAAAATTTTTCTTTAGTTAATATTGAAGAATTTAATCCTAATTGTAATTGTATCCATTCAATAAGCATTAAAGTTGGTGGAACTTGTAATTTAATTAATTGATATGTACCTATAGTATTATATTGTAATGATAAATTACTAAATGTTATAAATGCTGAAAATGATGTTGAGATAAGAAGTAAACGTAATAATGATTTAAAACGATTGGTTGATGTTTGAATATTTTTTATTGAAATTTTTGATAGAAATTGTAAAATAATCCATGCAAAAAATCCGGAATAAAAACAATTGAATATAGTTAATGTTAAACTTGTAATAGGATATTGACGAAAAAGCCATTTTGATACATAAATTAATAAAATAGCTGATAAAAAATTTAGAGAATAATTTAAAATAAAACGACCTTGTATAGTTATAGACATATGTCACAGTTTATCACATTAATATTCGTAGATAGACATGAAGGTTGATCGGACAAAAAGCAGAGACTGAAGAAAGTAATAAAAACTAAATACAAAATAAAAAAAGAACGAAAAAGAAAAAAACATGTGGTATGAGTATTTGTCTATGTGATTTTGCGGATTATTCAAACGAAAAAAAAAAAGAGAAAGAGTATTCATATTTTTATTAAATATTAATTTAAATTTTTGCTAGAATAGTCTAGTCTATCTAATGTATTTGATAAGAGTTCTATGCCATCGGAAATCATAAAATATAATATAAACTATTCTTTGTTCTTAATAAAGTTATGTAATATATTTGTCTATATATGTTTGATTTGATTCAATAGAAATACTCTAGTTGAACAATACTAAAACATGTTACAAGATGTGTCAGAAGTAGTACAATAATTTTATAATTCATCATTCTTATATAATATACATGTTAATTTTTTTAAAAACTTTCTTGTATTATTATAATGATTTAATACTATGAATGTAACAATTTCATATTGAATTTTCTTTTGTTTTGAAATTTGTTCTTAAAAAAAATCAATTCGAATTGATAATGAAAAGAAAGAAAAAAGTGTAACAGCAATATCATTAATATTTACCAATCTCTACTGATGATAATATTTCTTTTGTTTCTTTCATCATTAAGTTTCTTACATATACTTAAATAATTACTTTTGATGCTGGATTGGAATAGAATGATTGATTTATGTGATTATGTACAAAATTTGAAATTCGAAAAACAAATGATTCATAATTAATTCTAAATATTGGAATTAGTGCACCTCTATTTACTACTAAATAACAACAGCGTACAATATGATGAAGAAATTTTTATAATATTATTATTTTATCAGTTTTTTATTAATTATTGAAACTAATAACATTCGACATAATAATTCTAAGGTTAATTTGTATCTCAACATCAATTTGATAGATATTTCTTGAAACAAAAAATTTTCTTCTTTTAGGTATATATTTTTTGTTCTTGTAATGTGTTAGTTGAGGAATTCAATTGATGACAATTACAAAAAATTCATTTGAAATGTAATCATGTTTCAAATGACAAGGGTTTAAACTAAGGAGATACGTAATTTTGAATGTTGTTTTATTTATATTTTTGCTGATCATATAGATTCAAAAATTTAAGCTGCAAAAACTGGTCAGTACTAAACCATTAGAAGTATGACAATGGTAATATAATAATATTAAAAAGAAATAGAAGGTCTTTAGTGCCGACCTATGACTGCTTTAATAAATTTTAGACGTGAAATTTTGTTGATAGATAGATCTAATAGTTCTTAAAATGTCATGCAAATTTCAAAATAAAAGAGTGTTCATTTCCGCGATACTGTATTTCCGAAAAATAGTCTTTTACCACAGATATGTCGTGAGAATCGAGGTCACTTGAAAATTCAATATTTCGAAAAAAAAAACATTCTTTTAGACCTAAACTTTCAGGATATTCTAAGGATCATTCTACTCATCAATGAATAAGACTTTATGACTTCAAAACACCATGAAGATCAGCATTTTTAGACTTCTACTCTTACTGAAATCTACTTTGGGACCCAATATGGACTAAAACAATAGCTTCCATTTGGATAGTTCTCTCGTAGAATATGGGGTGTGATCATATTGTTAAGATTTTCTTGTTCTTGGTCATGAACGCTATCGACCTCAAAATTTACTCTTATTATAGGTGATAGTGATGAATTTTTAAAACCATTTGAGAATCTCTTGGATATCCTGTCTGCGATTATCTTGCATTTAAATTTCAACCAATTGTAATGATAATCAAGGCAGAAAGAATAAATTTCATGATCTTCCTTCAATGTTCAATTTTTGCCCTTTTTGAAACACATTCTAAAAAAGAGACTTCAACTATAAACAAAGATCTTAGCAATGACACATCACAAACATAATAAACATTTCTAGCAATGGCTCTCTTCCTTCATCGACCATGATAGATATCCAATCAACATCAACACAGGTTGCGATAAATACTATTGATATACAATCCAAGAGCGTATGTCAATAACGTATGGTTATAATAAATGCACTGTTTTCTTACTTCATTTCTGAAGGATTAAATAAAGGAATGATGAAGAAATATGCCCGACAATAGATAGAGTAAAATAATCTTTCTGTAATTAGCAACAGCAGCTGCATTGTATTTGACATTTTAATTCCACAGGGATTGTGCTCACAGCTTTTTTTCTTTATTTGAACAGTGTCAAAAGCATTTAATTTGATTTATGGCGTCTCAACGATAAATTAATTTATAGACCAAAAATATTTTTATATTCTATTCAAATAAATTAACAATAAATGAATATAAAAAAAAACATAATTAATATTAACAATGCATACAAAATAATTTCTATTAACAATCTTCAATATCAGTAATCGTCCTATTAAGTAAACTATGACGTTGTTGTATAACTTTCCAAGCTTTTTTATATTCTTTATATTTTTCGTTTCCATTATCTGGACTTCCGCCATGAAATGATGATGAACAAACAGTTAACATTGGTTGTTGAATCATTAAACATGAACAATTTCCTGAAAATGTTTGTTCATATTCAATTGAAATACGTGTACATTTAACATTTGCTATTTCAGCTAAAAATCCTGATAGAAATACATCACCTATCCATACTGTTTTATTTATTGGATATCTATATGATGCCTCAAGTAATTTATCTCGTATTTGTTTTGACATAAACCAACCAAAACCAGAACAATATAGTGGAAGAACAGGATGTGGCCAAACATCTTCACTAATACGAAATTTTCCATCACGTAATGTTGGTTGACTATCCATTGACCAACCACCGCGAAAAAATGTTGATCGATCAGATAATAGAAGATTTTGTATAAGTTGTGGACGATATTTTGAAATATATGATGTACTATTTTTTAAATTTGTTACAAGTAATTTTGCTATAGATGATATTAATTTTGAATCAAGAATTAAATCATCATCAGTTTTAAATAAATATGGAATAAATGGATAAAAATTATATGACCATTTTAATCCAGCTAGTTCTTTATAAATAACATTTGCATAGGATTCAATATGATCAATTTGAACAATATCATTATATTGTCGTTGTTCATTCTTAAGAGATAATTTAATTTTACTTGAATTTTTTGTTTGACCAACAATAAATATAAAACAAGTACCTATTAATGGTGATGCCCATGTTGAACGTATAATTTTTCTTCGTTTAAAATTAGTTACTGTTGATAAAATATAAATAATTAAATTATCATCCAATCGACATGTTGCTTTATTTGATTGTAAAGATAATTTTACATGAATATAATTATTTGAAGAAATATTTATTTGACCTTTTTTTTGCAACTTATTATATATTTTAGAAAATTTTATATCATAAATTGTGATAATAATAGCTATAATAAGTAATATTAAAAATAATATAGTATATCCATTCGAAGGATAAGATCTTCGCATTTGTAACATATAAAATTTACTAAAAGAAAAATTAAATTAATATATTATTATTTTTTATTATCTTTTTCCTATAAATATATCTATACAAGAAATTATCATATAGTTTTTATTGACAGAATTCATCAATAATAAATAACAGTGTTAGTTTTCTTTTCTCTTGACAAGTATATCATTTTGTCCTCAAATATGCTTTTTCTCAATACGTTCTTATAAACTCCTTCCGGTTCATTGAATAAAAGATTTTTCTTCATAATATTTTTTTTCTTTAGTAAGATGAAAGATTGTAGACTGATCAACAAAATGATTACTTTCATTTTGTATATTTCGTTTTTGTTTTTGAGAAAAAAGATTGTATTTTCACTTTGAAAGACTTCTCTAAAATTTTGTTGTAGACACCAACCAATGAAAAAAAAATGATCACATTTATTTTTCTTCTTACTTTTTTTCGGATGAATAAATGTAACGTGGAATGAATACTTTCGAAAAGAAAAGAAAACCGTAACATCATAGAATAAAAAATGGAAAAGGCAAAGAATGAGCAACAGATTATATACAGCTCAGTTCTTTTCTATATTCTCAAAAAGTTTATAGCAAAAGATTATTTGTTAGCACACACACACTAACTTTCATCTTTCGACTCAAACAATAAACATTATCGACGAAAAAAAAAATGAAATTTCATTTTCTCTTTTTTTCTTTCGCTCCTGGATCAACATAGTACGCATTACTTTTGTTTGCACAAATTTCATTTTATTCTTTACTGTATGCACCTGTTGGTGAATTTGAACTTTTCGAATACAAGGATTGTCAATTTTACATTTTGCCACCTACAGTCATATTTAAAGAAAGTGACAAATACAGAAAAAAAAAGCGAGAACAAAAAAATTATTTATTTTCAATGATTATTCGTATAGATATAGTTGACTCGAAGAAACCATTTGAATCGATAGCTATGCATATTTACCGAGATTTTATTAGGTATCAATTGTGAATAGCGTCATCTGCTTTAGAGGGAGTTGAGTAAGACTTTTAACGAGAAAAGATTGAAACCGACAAATGTTTAGAGTTTGAAGAAATTAGAAGTTTTTTTTTGATCAGTTATAAGTTATCAAAAAAAGATAGAAGTGATCATATGTGAAAGATGATCTCAAATGTCAATAATATATTTTTCAAGTTTTCTTTTTATTATTTCCCGAATAGCTCCATTTTCAAAACAAATAGAAATTCAAGGTAGCATTCGTGTGATCTTTCATGATACAGCATATTTTTCAAAGTTATATCAAGATAAAATTCTTGATTCCCGATTGAAATCATAACTTTTTATGATTTAGTACTTGAGAAAGACTCCAGATAATGATATTGAATTACTGTTAAGAACAAAATCGTATTATAGAAAACGATCAGAGTTTCTCAGGCTACTAAACTTGAAACTAACTTGCGTGACATACGTTAATCCGATCATCTAACAGCTGTTTTTATTTGATTCGACTGATATCGATTTTTATAAAAGCCACTTTTTTACAATGATGGTAAATGTCTTTTCTTCAAATGGTGTATCTCATTAAGACAAAGTTGGTTTCTTATGATTCTTTGGATTAAAGTAGATCGAAATAGGATCTTCAAGAATGTCAGTGAACTGTCTGCTTTATTTCTGGAAGAAAACTTTAAAAGATAATGGTTTATTTGTATTTCATTAGAGCGTCATTATTATAGAAACTGTCGTGAATGATGATGGTGAGTAGTTGTTTTATCCTTTTGAAAGAGGAAACTTCAACAACTATGCATATGTGAAAATATTTTTTAATTAAGTATGGAATAAATGTGTCTAATGTCAATAAAAACAAGTCAATTTGAGCTAACTAGAACGTTACTTTGACAACGCTTATAAAGGCAGCTCAAGTTCCTTTTTAAACGAAAGTCAACTGTTTCTAAAAGGAATGAGTTTGAACCCTATCTGTTGATGTTCATAATCTCCTTCTGGAATAACCGATCATAGGTTTTCCAAAAACACTTTTTGGAAAATCTAGCCGATTTTAGCAAAATTGCTATTTGTTCTAATACAGAAATACTTTTCAGAACGAAAATTCTAGTTTGCCCACATTTCTCTAGCCGAAAGGGACTCTTTGAATATCAGTAAAGTTTTGCAAAAATCTTTATTATTGTAGGTAAATGTTAGCTAAATAGCCCGAAATAGAAGGTCATTTTTGTAAAAGCGATGTAAATCTTCCAAAATATAAAGCTATGATCTCTTGTTCTGAATGAAACTTTCTTGCCTTTGCTATTCCTTCTCCTGAGGATACCACAAGATACTGATATCAAGTTTTACATATAATTACTACAGACTTTTATAAAATTCAACATATATTTTTTGTCAAACTGGCAGATGTTTGGACTGCAGAAATTAATATGAACAATATTTCTTAAAATATTATATCACTTTGTCCTATCTATAGAAATCTTTTATAACTATTCTATAAAAATAATGTTAATATCATTGGTAGACATTTCATTTTATATCGTAAGACAAATCAAATAATTCAATAATCATTTAAAATTTTCTCTGAAACATCCTAAATTTATCATCGATTAAAGGACAAATTCATCAATTCAAACGATTTGACTGTTCTAATAAATTTCAAATCGTTTAAATATTTATCTTTTTATTTTTATTTTTATTATTGAAACAAAAACAACAACGGCAATATTATTCATTGAAGTAATCCAATGTTTGTTAGCAATTTGTTGATAACATGCCGTTGAGCATATAGCTAAATGTTTATGCTAAACAAAACAAAACAATTAAAACATTGTCAAACAAATAACAAAAGAAAATATACAACATACTTTTAGCAACAGGAATAACAGCTGGTTGCATAGGTTCTTTAGCTGGTCCACGATGTCCAGCTGCACCTGCTACTCCTTGTCCACCAGCTCCACCTGCTTGACGAGCTTGTTGTGGCCGTCTAAGATAACAAACATTAGATTAATTTTTTCAATTCAAATTTTTCTTACAAAAGTGGTGTGCGAATTCGTCGTGCTTCTCTTGATCGATTACGAACAACCTTACTGTGAATAGCACATGATACACAATAATGTAATTTATAATAAAGTTTTGGTAAAATGTATCTTGGATAAACACTAGCTTCACTAATATCCTTAACAGCAGCTTGTTCAACAATATTTCGAATAATTATTTTTTTAATAGCCTTATCTTTTGGTACTAAACGGCGACAATTCGTACAATTTACTGAACGAACACGACCACGTCCATGTTTATTACGACCATTATTACGGCGTTTTTTTGTCATTTTACGATGTTAGATGAATGATATCTAAAAAAGAATATATATATTTAATTGAAAGACATTCATTAAATGCATTGAATTAAAATTTGTAAAAAAAATTAATTTTTTTTTTCAAAAATATGAATATGGACCATGTTTAGATTTAATTAACCACATGCTATCAATTACTTTTCCACCCTAAATATAGAAAAAATTAATATATATTTTTTTTTTCGAAACATAAAAAATATTTAATTAACCTGATCATCGGATACTTGTTCTAAATATAGATGTGAAGAATTATATACATTCATTCGTGTATAACCATAATCATCATTCTGAAATGCTGTCCATGGTCGAGGAACACCAAATGGATCATGACGTTCATTACAACCCTATACAAAAAAAAACATGTCTTTATTCAAAACTTAATATTTAGCTTTTATATTTACCGCTGATCCAGTTATAATATGTACTGGAGCATCTGGATCGATATAAGCACCTAGTGTACCATTATGAACCTATATAAATATTGTAAATTTTAATTGAAAACCATTTTTCTATTTCATACGGTTTTATTATAGACTGGCCATAAACGTTCATAACTATGTTCATGAGCCCAGAATTCTAGATCAACACCATATTGTGCAAATAATTTTTCTAAACCATATGCTTGAATAAATGGAAGACCAACACGAATCTAACAACAAAAACAATTAACATGTAGACTGCGTCAAACTATATTGTTTTTTTCTTATCGTAGAGTTAAATCTTTCATTTAAAAATTAAAATAATACTGAACAGGTTATAACAAAAATCTCGCGAAGTCATTTTGCCTTTGCTCCAGTGGATTTGTATTCTTAGACATTAGCCCCTGTTACTATTAGCACAGATCAAGTAATAGCCGTTACGGGCCAGAAAAATTCTAGAAATGGCAGAAACTGAAAAGTAGGAATCAAACAGAAGCCAGTTAATATTATGTTACTGAGGAACTGGTAATGGTAAATTTATGAATTTGATATTTTCGTTAACGAGAAGTTATTTTTCAAAAATAACATTTCATATAAAGTATGATCAAAAATGTTCGGAGTCAAAGAATCCGTATTTCGAGTAAATTGCTGAATTATGTTTATTCTATTAACTAGCTCGAACTTTAGATTTGTCGACCACAAAATCCTTTTTTAAACGAAAACATCAAATCCGCGAAAATTCTATCACTACTTAATTAGTACTGTAACAATAATCGACCGCCACTTTTTTGATCCAATGTTCAACCGATACCGCAATACAATATTGGTATTGTTACGTGCATACGCGTCAGTTTACCAGTCCTTGACTGGGCTCAGTGGTATCGTCTAGAGTTCGATCAGATCTGTGGCCAAAAATTTTTGATCCAACGGGCTCTAGTAGGCTGAAAAATCCGTAGAACGCACGGGTCATCGTATAGAAAAAAAAGCGGAAAAAAACATCTCGTATTTTCGGAGCGGTTATGTATATTCGATGAGAAAACCTAACTAAGAGTATCAAAGTACAGTTCGACTGGGTCCGAAGCCGACTGGTTCTAATCGAGTCAAATTTAATGGTGACTCAAACGTCCCACAATAGAGAAAATTTTTGTTTTATCCCAGTCGAGTCGAACATTGTTTTTTTTTCATTCCGTTAAAAAAAGATATTCTCCCTTTGCAGAAAAATAACAAGACATCTCTCTTCCCAATATTGGCTGTTTCGGCCCACTACTAGTCAGGTTGCATATCTAGTTACAAGCGGAAGTAGTGTATATCTAGACTTGTACTTTGAATACTATACATGTAAGAAATATGATGTTCAAAGATATGTAACGAAAAAGTTAGACCTACAAAAATATATCCATCAGCATATAGACATTCATCATCATTGTTATTACTACAATACATTGGTTTATGAGCCATTGTAACAATCCATGGTTGTTTAGCACGATTTTCTGGTTGATTAGCTTTCTAAATAAATCAAAAGAACTTACTAATCTTCTAAATTTTATTTGATTACTTTTAAATCTTCTTCAATCCATTTATATTGATTAATAATTTGTTCAAAACCATATTCAAGATAATAATAAAACTCAGTTGAAAAACCAATTACATGTACAGGACCAACATTAAAACTAATTTAAAAAAAAAGAGAATTTCCATTAAAAAGTATTCTTACAGAATAAAAAACAATTACCTATAAAAATGATTAGCATCACCACCATATGTATTATATGATGATGGCATACTAAATTTTGCAGTATATTGAGAAAAATTACTACGAAACAAAACAAAAAATATTTAATATTAATTAAATGAATAAACAAAATAACTTACTAAGCATTTTCATGATTTCCTGGACAAGTCATATATGGAATATAAGCAGCAATCGATTGAATTGAATTCATATATTGATCACCGAAACGAGCATTATCATCATTCATATCATATGCCATATCACCTTGAAGATAAAATAAGTAAAAAAAAAAAAAACAATTCATTTATAGAATAAACTTACCAACATGTAAAATAAGATCAAAATGACCTAATTGAGTCTCTTCTTGAAGACGTGCCATGGATTGAGCATTATCTTTTCCCATATCACCATAAACAGCCATACGAACAACAAAATCTGAATCATTACGCATTGCTGTAAACCAAAATAAAGGTGACCAACCATATTCATTACTACCACAATGATAAACTAAAATTGAAAAAAAAAAATTATTAAATTTGTTATGTTTTTTTTTTATCTAATTTTTATTTCATACAATATTTTTGACCAGGTATTAAATCATATAGAACAACACGATGTATATATTCACGTCGTTGTTCAGTACCACTATCTTGAAAAATACTTACAGAACCAGTTGCTCGTTTATCAAACATATCAAGTTGACCATATTCAACAACAGATTCATTGACTTCATTTAATGTTACCCATGTAACAATCATAAGTGTTGGATTGACTAAATTATTAAGAAAATAAACAATTTGTCTATTTTTGTGTAGAAATTTAACATACGTCCATAAGATAGATGAATTTGTTCTGGTTGACCAAAAAATGGATCACTAGATATAATGGATCTCGATAAAACAACACTAAAAATTGTTACAAGTACAACACCACTTAAAAGAGCCATTCTCTATTTGAACTTATGTTTTTTCTATCACAGATATGCAAGACCAACAAAAAAGAAAATAAACAGTTGGATGTTGTAAAAGGTAAAAGTGTGACTCTACTATCTTATCAATAGAAATAACCTCGATAAGAATTATGAATTTTTTTTCAATGTAAATTTAAGTTTTTCAGATTATAAAAAAAAGAATTTTCATCTTTGGTAATATATAAAATTCATTCAAGCGTCATCTTTGATGATTATCGGAACATAGCGACCTCTGATATTTGTTTTAATCACGGGATATCAAATGATTTGCAAAATAGAAACTTGAATTCTCTTAGAGTTCTTATTAGAATACTATGTAGTATCTATACGCAAAAAACTCATTAAAATCGAAAGGAGACGTCTGAATCTGAAGAGTTTTTCTCACCAGTCAAAGTGGAACGCTTCCGGATGAGTATTTAGTTAAACCAAAACCCAATCGAACTGAAACTGAAGCATAGCGAAATTGAATGTTTCACTTGTGTTTATTTGTAATGAACAGAACTTGTTTTCATTTGAATAAAAGATGATTTCATTGGTATAAATGTAAAAAGAAACTCATTAGATGTAATCAGAGTATTTGTCTGGAGACAATTTTATGTTCTAGAGAATAGCATAGATTATTGAAAATTCCAATTGTTTGGATTCTAATGAAGTTTTTAAACAGACTCTTGAGAATCAATATACTATATAGTTGATTGAATCCAAAACATTTTGTCGATTTCTTTCTTATCATTTACAATACAAGTTGTTTAGTATAGCAACTGGAATATGACTGTATAAACACAAAAAATTGATCCAATGATAGCTTTTGTCATCATACAAATTATATAATCTCAAATATTATTTCATCAATTGTAGTAAGTAAGAATAGCCCTAAAATTCCTCTAACGTTTTGTTAAAATATTTCTATTTTAGTAATCACCATACTCAACAGATCGAATTCAATCTGAATGAAAGGATAATACGAAGTGGTTAGTTAGACTATTTTGATACTTACACTCTTGAACAAGTATTTGTTGAGACGAAACAATCAAGTTTGATTATATATTAATCTGATGAAGTATAAATTTCTATCTATTCATAACATTTTAACTGACATATTAAGACATAATTGGTTGAATTTGCAAACGTGTATTTGCATATATCATCTCATTTTGTGTAACTCGTATATATTTTTTGGAGGATGTTCATAAATCAATGAGTACGTTTTTTCTAGGAATTAAGGACAACAAGCAACAGAAAAGTACTTAACTACATTAACAACAAAGCTTACACTATTCTAAATAGCTCAATTTTTAATGTTTGTATAGATAAATATTTATGTCGGTGATATCAAAGACGATGGATAGCGATTTATTGATTGATTTCCCACAATCATCAAATGATTAGCATAAAAAGCGTCAATGAATCAAGTTATATATTTAGAAAATAATTAATACCAGGGTTTCGGATTTAATGGGGATGTAGATTATCATGTTGAGATCTACTATGAATATAATGAATCACAGCATTTGCTTCTTACTTACACAGACAGAAATACGTAATTTAATTTGAAGATTTTCCCATAAGAGACATTAGTCATTGAACATTCATTTCTAGGCCATATATGCAGATGTCACCGATAAACATCGAAAAAGATTATATTTACTAATAGTGAACACATATTTTACACAATAGAACACATTTTTTTAACCAATTAACTGTAAACTATATTCTACGTATTTCAATGGATAATCCAAATCTGCATTGATATCTTCATCTTAAAATTTATTTAGTTCTTCATCAAATAAAATAATTTTTTATTTTTGAGTTTCGTATTTCCATTTGTTTTTTTTTTTTTATAAAGAAAATCATTTTTATTGAGCACTATGACTCATTAGTAAAAATCTAGTTAATATAACAACAACTGTTATTCACACTTCTTGTCTTTTCTATTACTCATTCATATTTATTATTATTTCTATAAATTTACTGTTTATTGTTTTTATTTTCATACAACAGAAAAACAATTGATCGGTTCATTCTGATTGTATTTTAATTGATTCAAAAAAGTGTGTGATCAATCGAATTAGTCATTCTTTTAATATTTTATGAACATAAAATTATGACTGATATTGCTAAAGTATTTAATATTTATTCAACTGAATCGAATCAAAATCAAGAAAACGAAAATTTTGATTCAGAACAAATAAAACGAGTTAATGCTAGTAAGAAAAAGAAAACCTAAAGTAGATATATCATTTTTTTTTCATTTCAGGTGTTAATCAAGATTTTTCAAAAAGTTACGTTCGAATAATAATAAAAATTCCTCAAATGAAAACAAAACTTAATTGGCGTAAATTTACACGTGTTGCAAAAAATGGTTTAATAACTAAAGCAACATATCATGGAACGTATGTTATTATTGATGTTTTTTTTGTATTACTATTATTATCATCATCCATTTTTTTAATATTTAGTCGAGTTTGTTTTGAATTTATTCTTAATCAAGGTAAATCAACAGAAACCAAATATGAATATTCATCACGAGAACCGTTTCATGGTCCAATTGAATATAATAAAAGTTATTTAAAAGTAAATAATATTATTATCTTAGAATTAAATTCTTCAACTTTTCTTTTTCAGTATAAAGATGAATATATCATTTGGTTTATACATAAATTTCAACCTTGGTGAAAAAGAAAACATTTTATGCATTAAAAAAGAAATCAAAATTGTATCTATATTGTAATGTTTCGTTAGTTGTTTTTGTAATAAAATCAATGAATTCAAATGATTTATTTATTTTTTTCTGTAAAGTGATGTACAAACTAAAAAGAAAACAGTGCTAATAAATAAAGATTTCGTTTTTTTTGGTTTCGTTTTCAAGTATTTGTTCCGTTAAAAATGTCACGACGCGATGTTACAGGAGCTATTATTGATGGAATATCTTTTAAACTATTCTTACGTGAATCATTCTCTTGATCAATTGAATTTCGATGTGGTGATTGACGAATATATAAATCGGCACCAGGTAATGGTTTAGCATGTAATTCAACTTTTTGTGATACACCGAAACGTGCTCTACATTCACCACGTGTTATACGATAAAGTCCACGTGAATCTTTACGAAAACCTTTATCACGTGGAAATAAATCTTCAAGATCACCAAGTTCTAAGGTGAGAAGTTCTTGAGAATCTTTGTAAATTTTAACACGAATTTCACCAAAAAAATAAGATTTAATTTCAAATGTACCATGATATTCATCTTCTTGAACAACTAATTCAGCTGTAGTTTGAGACATACCAGGAATCTAATTAAAACAATAATTTTCAATAATTAATCAATTAGTTTACGAGGAAATCTCTTGAGCTGTCATCCTTCCAATTTAAATGAGTTTTTGCTTATATATACTACAAAGTGTTCTAATAAAAATGCCAAAAGTATTTGTAATACCTTAAGCAATTGAATATTTAATATGTCTATATTCTAGAACTTCCAAGTTTTTTAAAAACTTGATAAATCGAAGAGACTGTGTTGAATACTTCTAAATTTTTTCATTGAAGCTATTCTAGCTGAGCTTTACTCTTGCACAAAGCTTTAGATACAAATTGGAAAATAGAAGATTTTTGAAAACCTGAGGTCTTCAGAAAATAGACATATTAAAAATTCGAGATTTTAATTGAAATCAAAAGAGAATAGCTGAAAAGTTTATCTATCAAGGATCGGAGGTTGAAAGAACGGTGTCTGTCTAAAAATTGAATTCATTTTTCTGGATTTTGTCATTATTGTAACATACACTGTATGTCTATGCTTTGAAAAATATGTATTTGTCCTGGTTAAGTTTTGAATCGCTTCTTCACAAAGAAAAAACGTTGATAAAATATTGGACACAAAAAAATAGAATCGTGTATCTAATAAATGCAGCATACAAGAGATATCTTGGACGATGAAATCACATCTCGACATAACATTCGCAATTCCGATTTATTGATATATGACACGGTTTTTATCTTTCGAGAAAGTCGAAAGCTGAAAATATACATATATCGTGTATATTATTGAGACAAATACACGTCAAACGCAATAGTATAATAAATGAATTCATCACTCATTTTGTTATTCGCGTCGTCAGACTGATTTCTATTATCTTTCTCGATTTCTTGTATATGTAACAATCTAGTCCTGTCTGAGAAATAATAAAACATTCATGTCGAAACTTTTTATACCTTTATTAATTCAAATATGAGGAATTCGACTGATTGCTCGTTTGTTACACTTTTTATCACTTCAACTCAAGATCAGTATTAGCTCTTTTGTAATCTAGAGAAAAAACGTGTTTTTTTTCAACTACTGTTTCATCAAACTCGTAGTAATGAATCATACAAGATCGAAATACTATCACGAATTTTGAAAAATCTTTTGTGCTTCGAGTATCGCTTTTTTGCGAGATCCGCCAAAAAATAGGGATGTAGTACTTTATAAAATAAAAGAGAAGTAAGCACCTAAAACAGTAAATACTAGCTCCCTATCTCCCTATAAAATAAAAGTTTATTCCACGAGATTAGAATTCTCCGGATAAAAAAAACCAAAGTTCATTTTGTACAAAATGAATATAAATCAATGAAAAGTGCAAGAATATGTATATTTCTATTAATTAACAAAAAAAAAAGTTATCTCAACACAAGCTTGCTACCAAACTCACGGTCTGTGCAGCAAGGGTACCCCGCGGTGTTCTATTCTGTGTGAGGATTTTAAGTGTTGAACAGATTTCAGTTCGATCAGATATATTATTTCTTGAAAAACGGTAGTGATTCTGCATATTTCTATGTTAAAAACTCGAGTTTCAGCAAATCTCGACTGAACAATAGAACGTTTTATCTTTTCCATTGGACATTCTTGCCAAAAATGTCCTGAGGCGGATCAGAGGGCTTTTGCTAAAATGGACTGGATATGCAGAAGGATATCTATCTCTGATTATCATGCTCATTTATTTCTATTCGTTTCTCATTAATTACTATGCTGTATTCATGTGTATTGACTGCTATACTGCTTCTTGACTGATTAGTTCATTCAGTCTATTGACTTTTTTTATTTTTAATTTTATCATCAGTAGTTGTTTTTTTTTGTCTTCTTGAGAGTTTTCTTATTGAAAATAGAAAACATACTTTAATATTTGATTCAACCGACCATGTTAATTCTTCTTCAATTTGTTTATCTTTTGATTGTTCAAGGGTATATTCTCGACGAAAACCTGTGCTTGCTTCTAATACACATTTAGGTAATGGAACTTCTAATTCCAATGAAGCACACTGTTCAGTTGTGTAACCTTCAAATATTGAAAAAGCACATGTTGATACTGTACGTCGTTCTGCTTTTAAACTATATTCTTGTTCACGATTTGTATCATTAAGAAATGTTGAACGAAATAATATATGATTTTTTGGTGTACCGGGAGTGTCAATATCTGTATAAATAACAGGATCATGACGTACTCTATTGAACCACAAACAAGAACAAAAACAAAATTTTGAAAAAAACAAAAATTAAAACAAAACAAACTTTAATGATCTCCAATCAATTTCTTTGACAAGTTCTTTCCAATTATAAGTTTTTCCCCATCTAGCTTTCATCGTATCTTTTTCATTATCTTTATACCATCGATGTGCTGATGATTCAACTAAATCTCGTAAATTCACAAGACCCATTTTTGTTGATGAAGATATTGTCTAAATTTTGAATAAATATTATATTAAAATATACAAATATTAAATATTAATTAAAAGCAAAGTAGGCAACCAAACAAGTTTTACTTTTTCTATTTTAGATTTTATAATTCAAAATCGAATTCTTTTTCTATTTGCTGTCTAATTAATAGAGACATATACAAACAAATCGATTTATACAGCTTAAATGAACAATATGATTTTTATTAGATATGCAATGCCTTCTAGAAACATTCTCTTCATATATAGAAATCGAACTAATATTGACGGATGAATGCACATTAATCGATTTAAACAGACGAAGAACATGACTAATTTAATAGATCGATGGATGTCAGTGCTATTTCTTTTCCTTCGCATTTCATTTATCGATTTTGCAAATGCATATTTTATGTAAATATCTAAGTTAGAATTATAAAACTTCAAGCTGACTAACATCATATAAAGAATATTTCTATTCAATTATTGACTAAAAAAAAACGTTCAAGAAAAATCAAGTTACATTCATTCTCATTATGTTAAGTTGTGTTAATTTCTTTTTTATCTACAGTTCAAAAGTTATATTGCTATCTCAACCGAAATAAACAGACTAAATTTGTACTATTTGACAAAAAGAAACCAATGTACTAAAAAAATACATCTGCAAAGAAAAAAAAACAGCTGTGCACTTTCATAAAGTGCATATTAAAATATCATTAGTGAACGATAAAAACAAACACTTTTCTTTTTTTTTGTAATTAAATGTTGACACTCCCTATTTGATCATATTCTTTTCAATTATATACTGAACAAGGGAAATCAAACAAGACATTTGCTGATCAAATTCTATTCAATTAATCAGATTAGTTTTGAAGTTAGTGATCTCGTTGAAGAAAAACTATTAATTTAGCATGACATGTCTTCTATTTTAACATACATATGTCTATAAAAAAATTGAGTTATACGAGAGAACAAATTGGTTAATTTCAAGACAGCAAGATGTATATCATTCTCCTACCTGTCGATTCATTGTAGAACTCTGTTGTAGGTAAATTAAGTTTCATTATCAATATAGAAAGAAAATATTTTTATTTTTATTTTCTTACCTCGTCACCTCTACCGTTAAAATGAACAAGATTATCAATGATACGTGGCATTAATCACATTGAATCTAAAACAAATGATAGCAAATAAGATTCAATTCTAATTAAAAATGATCACAATAATCTTTTCGTTATAGAAAGAAGAAAAAAAAAAGAACAGCGCATGTCAATAAACAACTAAACATTTCAAAGACAAATACGTATTAGTCATTATTAAAAATTGAATCCATGCATAATGAAAGTTTTTTTTTTTCTTCATCTACTCACTCTTTTTTTTTTACGTTTAAGTGATTTAATTTATAATTTACAATAGATGTAAAAAGCGATTTCTTTTTTTTTCTCTTCTTCTCTCCAACGTTTACTATTTCTACACAGACACATATTTTATTGACATTTTTAGTCTCAAAACTTATGTCGAAAATATTATTAGCATATAGAAGCCATAGAATCGTTTGATGTATGTTATAACGACGATAAAATGTTTGCATTTGATGTTGAAGAATAATGTTCACTCAGTGCAAGAATAACAAGATTATTCATCTCGCTTTTTTTTCTTGTTCTAATGATGTTTGACGCTCTCTTCACAAAGATTCCAACTCATTAGAGAAAATCTACTTGTGTACATTATTTTTTTGATGAGAACAGATGTGATGTTGCTATTCAGAAGTTTGTCTTATGAATAGTTCATTCGCTATACAAATGTCTATTGATATATATAGGAAAAAAAAGAAATATAATATTTATTTTAAAGAAAGACGTTGTTAATTGCAAGTATTGAGAGCAGTAGATCATTCTATTAATCTTGATAAAGAAGTAAGTATAAAGTAAATTTTACAAATCAAAATGAGAATTCCAACTGTTTATTGAGATTGAATCGGTAAATAGAGATCTAAACTTACTTTAAATGACTTGTGCTGTAGGCAACAATGAATGAGCTATGTCTTTCTTTCTCAGTTTTTGTTTTGTTACTTTTTTTAACTGACGATGACGTCAAAATAACCTCGTATTTTAGTATTTCTCTCGTTAATGATTGGTGCATGATGAGTAAGAAGACAAGAGAGAGAAAAAAAAGAGAAAGTCAGTTGACTAATAAGTTTTTTCTCGTATGTTCAACAACATCAAGATAATGGAAAACGGCATGATGCATTTCAATAGAAGACGACGTGACAAAGATGACTTGTCATATTCATTTTAAACTCAAGAGCAAACGACAATAATAGAATAGATTGACTCATTAAAAAAGCATAATACTGCGCATAATCTTGAAATAAATGGAACCATTTCAAGTTGCCGGCAACTATATGCATATTGTTGCCATTCCCTAAGGACATTGACTCTTTTTTCTCTTCGATTAGTCATTCGTTCATATTGTCATATTTTCTCGCTAGGACTGAACTGCTATTGAAAAAATAATGAACCTATGCTTTATAGAACTGACAATCATTCTTCTCTTCTCTATTCTTCTTCTTCTATTTTCTATACAAACACACTTGATTTGAGCGGAAATTGAACTCTCATTCATCTAAACGATGAATCAACAATTAACCGTTCATTTATATAAAGTCTATGACGAATGATGAATTCATCTTTTCTATACTCACCATTCTATTATTAATCAACATCACAGTATTCTTCAACAAAAATTACAATTAACATACGAGTATTAAACAAAAAAAAAAGAAAATGCTATGAATAGAACGTGGACAAATCTTTTACGTTAAAGTTTATCATCAATCTTTGTTCTGTATATAAAAACAAAAGCAAACATATATATAAACAATAAAGAAAAGATAAGAAACATGACAGACATATAATATTATCTTTATCGAAGTTTAAAAAAATTTGGTGCAGAAAAAAGTGTGACGTAACTAAAGATTGTTGTCATTATAGAAAATAAAACAAGGCATAAACGATCAATAACCATTGCCGAAAATTTCCAATCTTGTGATACATCATCATCTACTTCTTCTTTTCGTATATAATCTCCAAGAAATTTAAGTTCATACATTATCATACGAAGATCAGAACGATAAATATTTATATCAGAAGGTAGTAATACATCATTTGTATCATGATTATAAGAAGAATTTTCTACATGATTCATTACTGGTATTAATAATTGATTATTTGATTTTTGATATGATTGTTTATCAATATTTGTTATATTGGCTAATAATGATTTTGATGAATTTTCTAATAATGGTGACGGAGGATATTTATAACTATGAATAGGATTATTTTGACGAGAACGTCGACGACGAATTGCTTTCCAACTTAAATCATGTCCTGGACGTTTCATACATAATAACCATGCTAAATATTGATTGACATATACATAAATCTAGTACATTAAAAAGAAAAAGAAGATCTTTAAAAAAACATTTCTCAAAATTTTATTGATAAAAACAATATTATACAAAATCATGTATCTTTTCCTATCTAATGACCGATGAGCTATAATGAATGATCATGTCATGAATTCTATTTTTTTTTTCATCATCTGAAAAATTTTATTAACTATTTACTTTCTGTTGGGTTATGTTTTAACTCTTTATACTGAATAATATGAAAAATTATTTTTCTAGACTTATTTCTTTTTTTTGATATAAACTTATAAAATATTATAAGACCTTCATGCTAGAAAGCTTTATTATAACTAATAATTAGTCAAAAATCGTTCCACAGCTGTTTTTAAATAACATTTTATTGGTAAAAGATAGAAATCATCAATTTCTGTTAAAATTTTTCCTCTGGATGAGACCTTGACAATTGCAATGGATGACTTTCAATCGGTTTCAAAACTAGTGATGCCATATTATAAAAATATAATGAGGATTAACTATCCGAAAAATAAAATCTACTACAAGATGCAGCGTGAATAGTTCTACAATCGACAATACAATCTTTGTTTTTATATATATATCGAAGGCTATAATCGATAGCTGACTTTAGACCAATAGATATGTATTTTTATTATATTTTTTTTCAATTATTCTGATGTTATTCAAAAAGAAATAATGGTACGGTTAGGAACTTCGAAAAATGACCTTATATTTTCAATGATATATAAACCCAGTAAAACATTATCATATGAGAACTATGTTGAAGATATTCTTTTACATGTACAAGCTACGAATATCAGCGTCTACTAGGTGATGATTTCATTTATCAACAAGATAATGCTACGCTACTGATACATCCGTTATCATGTGTATGATTTAAAGGAAATTTCATGCACTTCATAAATATCAGGGACAAAAAATCAGCGACAAGCTCTTGTAAGATCAGATGAAATCATTCAAGACACTCTAGTCTTCAAAAGATTAAGAATTTTTTGTACGATTTTATCTGATCTCTTGAATTCGCATTTTGATTAAATTAGTTGATGACTAGCACTGTCTTTAAATCATTACTCTTGAATTATGTTCTAACTGATATGATCTACAAGATAATTCTCTTAAAGCTATAGAGTAATTATTTAGCTATAGTCTTTAGTTCCGGATGGAACAGCTTTTTTTTCTCGTATTACTTGCTCTCGTCTCAGCAACTTGTCTTGCTCACGGTCCTAGTCCTGAGAAAATTCTAAACTTTGCTTCTGCACATTTCTAGTTCCGGTCGTAATGCTCAGGGTTATTATATATGAGTGGCTATCGACAATCACATGCAATGGAAAAAATTAAAAACTGTAATTGACTAATTGATGAAATAAGAAAAGAAATTCGCAGTGTACAAAATTAGTTACACAGAACTTTGTCTATTTTGAAAACTAAATATGACCATATAGAATGAGCTTTGTGTTGTAGATTGTAGAGCTTTTGACGCTACATGTTGAGGTATATTTTGTTTTTTTCTGTACAATGTATTAGATGATAAAAAAATAAAATATGAAGTGATCATTCATCCTAACTCACTTGTTACTTTGTATTGAGAAATCAAAATGACATTGATTGGGATATGTGTTTAAAGCTACCAATTAAATCTTGACAGTCAATTCAATAGCGCAAAGATCATGTATGAACTGAAAACTTTATGTATATTTTTATAAACCAATATGTTGTTTATGGTAAAAAGTTGTCACTGCCGACAAAAAAACAACTGACTGAAGTAGCAATACTTTTCTCAAAATCACGTCTTCCAATGGAAAAAAGAAAAATAAGCATTCATGATATTTGTTTTTTAAGAATATTAACGAAGTACTCTTTAAAACTTTGCATGTTTAATAATACTTTGAAAGATGATACTCATTTGAAAGAGTTTGTAACTTTTTAATGATCTGTTTTCATGTGTAACAATCAATTATCATTAATAAACTTCTTACCCACATTGGCATTGTATGATTTTTTGCATTTCTATGATGAAGAACAAGTACAATAACAGTAGCAACAACGGACATTGAACACATACACATAACTGTTGTAAAATACATTACAATAGTTGGTAAAGCCGTTGAACTAGCTGGTATAATTCCTGCGATTAATAAACTAAACATAACAATTGAAAGAAGAATTGTAATTTCTATTATTCGAAAAAACAAACAAGTAAACAAATTTTTTTTAATAAACATTAATCATTATTCTCTTACGTAGAGTTAATTTTTCACCACTATCTGGTGGTAAAAGAAATCCAAGTACAGTCATAAAGCTAATCACAACACATGGAACTATATGAAAAACAAAACTAATACTCATATGAAATCAAAAGTAAATAAATATTTATTTTTTTTTACCAACTACATTAACAACATAATAAAGAGTACGTCGACGAATTCGAATTGTAAATAAAACAAATGGATATACTGTTGGACAACATTCGTAAACAACTGCTTTTCGTACAACAATAAAAGCTATAAAACAAAAAATTTATATTATTGATAGCAATTTGCGTTTTTCTATACCCTCTAAATCCCATTCACCACTTTGGACATATGCATCTAACTGACCTTCACTATGATCAGTTGTTAGATTAATACCTATTAAATGAAAAAAAAAAAAGTAATCAATAGGAATTTATGATCTATTTTTCCGTTAATCTCATTTCGTCTCTTGTTTGTCTTATTGTGAAAGAAGTCGCTTTAACTCAATATGAAAATACAATGAATTTTAATGATTATTTGATTGAAACGTATGATCAAAGTTCAGCTTCTTGGTTTTCCATACAGTTACAGAATGTACAAGAAGCTAGTATCGAAGAACTTTCAAACAGGGATGGCTTAAAGAACAGATTAAACACTCAGTTTTCCTCTCGTCCTCATATGCTTAGCGCATCTCAACAGTAGTGACAGTAGCACTATAATACTTTATAGAAGGCTTGAAGAAATTTTCTATATACAATAAATTACAAATGCAAATTGATGTGAGTCATGGTGCTAGCCAATGAATAATCTTCGATCATCGTTTACTCACAAAGACTTATCCTCATTGGATATCAAAACAGCGGAGTGTCAGGTTGATCATGCAAAATATGGTCTGAATTATAGGTCTAGAAAGTCATTCTTTATCTTCAATCTCTTCTTGTCGTTTATGAAATCATCGATATTATTTTTCGAATGTTCCAAGAGATGTTGCCTAGCCACCCACATCTAAATATAGTGCAGTATGGACTCAAATGTAGAAGTGACAGTTCTCCTTATCCATCTAAATTAGAGATGAATAGTTTTCATCGAAATTCTTACATAATCAAATTTTCTTGAGTCCTCATTCAGATATTATAGTGCTACTGAGATTACTACTTTTAGTATGTCCTAAATATTTCAATTCAGCAAACGTTGACATGAAGAACGTGGTTTTCCGCAACAAAAGTCAGAAGAATTACAAATGCAACAACGAAAAAAGTCTACGAAGAGATCGATATCCCATAGTTCCGTCTATTTCATAGGAAAGACGTTGGCGAATTATCAGATCTTAAATTAGCTATCAAATGTGGTCATGCAATTTTTTGTTATGTGTTAGGAAATAAAGAGCTGACTTTCTTTTTCATCATTCTCACTCTCTGTAAGAGATGAACTGGAAGTCAATTATCATAGATCTAACCATCTTGAGATGAACAATAGACGAAATGAGACGATCTATCAATTCTTTTTTTGTACTAACCGGATTCGTCAAAAGACCATGGACCGAATTTTAATGTACAATTTTGAATGTCCCAAAAAGAAAAAGATATATACAAATTAATAAAAGCATATTTCTTTTTCATAACTTACAAATGGAAATGAAGCAATATTAAATGGACAAATTGATTTAAATATCGCCGGTGGGACAAAAAATATACTACCATTTGATTGTACAATTAAATTCGTTTTCATTATACCTTCAAAATTGAGATCAGCACTTTCAAAAAAAATAAAAATGAAAAATCTTTTCTTTTTTTTTTTTATTGTTCATTATACCTATTATAAAGAAGAATATCTGGTGTCCAAACACGCGTACTAGGTATACGAATAGCTTGAATATTTCCAAATTCTTCTGGTTTCCATTGTAAACTATAATCATGCCATGCCTGGATTGAATATATTTAGAAAAAAAAACAATAATTATTATAAAATAAGTCAACACACATACAAGAACTATCCAACCACTAACAGCAAGAATTTCATTTTTTTCATCCTATTTTTTAATAAATATATGAATTCATATAGATTTGTGTCATAATTACACTCACAAAATCAATTATTTGTTGTAAAGCCATATTCATTGTTACAGTTAAACTATGAGAATCATTATAAACAGGTCTTTCAAGTGGATTATGATTATTTTCATCAAGTAAATATTTTAATAAACGACGTTGATGTTCACCTCCAACTATTTTTTACATAAAACTCCTCCTAAGATTAACCTTTAATTTATGTACTTACTTATTATTTTAAATAAACAAAATAATATAAGAGAATGCATGATTTCATTAGAAGGTAGCATTGATAAGTTTTTTTTATAAATAAAAATAATCTCTTCTTTGTATTTGCCTACTTGTATATGTGTATATATGCATATGTATGCAAAAAAAAGCCGAATTCAAGTGCAACAGATGTAATATTTTTTTTTGAAGTCAAGAAAAAAAAAGAACAGACTAATGATATACGATATATTATATTTTTTCCTATTAGAACTATTCTTTGTTGATAGAAACCTTTCGTGAATATTCATTGAAATTATGGCAATGTGTTAATCGAAAAAATATCCAGTCAAAACTGAATGATGTCGTTATTTGCTCCATGAAAAATAAAGAAAAATGCTTTCTTAATGATTATGGAGAGAGAACAATCACTATAGTTTGCTATCAGAATAGGATAATCGACCATTGATGGTGTTACCAACTGCAAATGCCATTTGAAATGAGTAATAGAAAGACAAACGTCAAGCCAAAAAAAAAGTCACAAAGTCCAGTCATATAGTCTGTGATTATCATAATAAAGACATAGACATACATCGCATAGTCAAAGCCCGAATATTTAAACAGAACAAATGAACAGAACAAAAACAAAAAAAAAATGATAAAGCGACCTATATTGACAGGCGCAAATAAAACGCACACACAAAAAATAGTTCAGTGGCAAACAATTTTAAGCAGGTGTAGAACTTATGAAACAATAAATGTCACGTACACGCACACACACACACACAATCAATTGGGTATGTACATATACCCATTAGATAAGAGATGACAAATAAAACGCAGAATAAATGTCTTCTTTTTTTTGTTCGTTTTATTCGTTGGTTTTTTTTTGCAAAAAGTAGAGTTTCTTGTTTAAGTATTTTCTCATTGTTAAACAATGAAAATTGTCAGAGTTAAATCAAAGAACAAAAGAGAAATAGGAATTACGTGTAACAAAAAAATGTATCAAAGTGAAGAAAAGAAGAAAAAAAATAGTCTTTTACGGCATAATTTTTTTTTAATATGAAGTATAATGAACTACAAAAAACAAAGAAAAACAAAAACAAAAAATTAAATTAATTTTTTGTAACAATAACGATACATACAATTGTAAATCGAACAATTGCTAACGAAGAGATGATTTCTCTCCGACTTGATTTGTTCGATTATATTCTCTTCACTAATACTTCATTGTTTGTAAAAACAGATGATTTATTATTGGCATCATTTGTCTTGAAGCTACGAAATAAAAATGTTTATAAAATAAAACAAAGCTATTAGTACAATTCTGAATGGAATAAAATGTAAAACACGATATAGCTGCTGTCGTCAAACATATCGACATTATTTTATCGTATCTATTTGAGGACATATTTCTTCATTATTATTTTCCTTTATCCTCCAGAATTGCCATAAGAAAGTAATTCATATATGAGCTATTTCAAGACAAAAAAAATGATAGACTTACCTTCTATTCTTTACAAGGTTTATTCCTCTGAATAAGTTCTTGTAGCAAAAAAAAGGTGAAAACATGTTGGTGTAGACAGACTGGACTTCACGAAACTCATCTATGGTGATAGGTGAGGATAAGGTTTTAACTACAGATTGGTATATAAATGTAGACTTGTACGCAAGAATCTCCACTATGTAATAGTGTATGTATAAGCAGATTCTACTGCGCACTGTTCACATATCAAAAAGTAACGTCACCTGTTGATATGTCCATGGTAAGCAGTGAAACCTGATAATACGTAGCCTATTCAATGGAAAAAGTCTATTTTTACAAACTTACATATCTTGTTCTATAGATAAAACCTAGGCATTCTCAGAAAGAACTTTGTATTGAGATTTTGTTGCCCCAAATCATAGCTTTTTGCAAATTAAAAATGCATGAAATACAAGTCAATGTCTTTGTTTTGCGTCACTTTGCTAACGCTAATTTTTTTACTGATAACTCTTCTGAACGAAGATATCTAGAGTCGATTTTTTTAGACCATTTAGAATAACTTAACATATATCTAACGTACAAAAATTAGTTCTGGAAAAGTCCATTGTTTAGAGATACACGTGTTCTGGTTTTACGAAGTCGTTCATATTATAACAAGATCGTGTTGCACAAAATGAATTTCATTTTGATTTTCCTATTGTGTCTTACTTGTGGAGGTATAGATCCTTGTGGATAATTTATAGGAACATATTGTGCAGCTGCTTGATATTGTGGAGGAACATAGAAAGTTTGAGGTGGGATTGGTTGCTGCGGATGATACATTTGTGTTGGTATCATTTGCTGTTGTTGTTGAATATATGTAGTTGGAGGTGGTGGTCCTTGCTGCCAATGAGCTAAAAAAATTGAAATTTGGTTATATACGAAAACACGTATATAGATATACTTTGATCATAATAACCAGTACGTTGATCTTGATAGGATTGTATTGGTATTTGAGGTTGTTGAACCGGTGGTGGTTGCTGTTGTTGTTGGCCAGAATTTGAAGCATTACTACGCATATTTGAATAACGTTTAGGACGTTCAAAACTTGGCGCTTCAGCAGAGAGATTTGAATTCGTAGCACTAGGTTCATTCTGTTGTTGTTGCTGTTGTTGTTGATTTCGATTATTTTTTATTTGACGTCTTGGTGGTTCATTATTCTCTCGACGTTGATTACGATTTTTATTTTTATTATCATCTTGATTTACCTCATGCGTTTGTCCAGTTGATCGTTTTTGATCATCACGATTATTATTATTTTTTGGTACATTACGTTGTTGTTGAAATTGAGTATTAGTAAAATTTCTTTCACGATGAAATGCTTGTTCCATTGTTGCATGTTGTTGATTATGACGTGGTGGTATAGAATGTTCTTCAGTTTGATATTGTTCAAAATCACGTCTTTGTCTACGAGGTGGTGCCTGCTGTTCAACATAATTATTTCGATTACCACGACCACGATTATTACTATATGACGATGGACGATTATAATCTTCAAATTCAAAATTATTCATTCGATCATTGCGTGATTTAGCATATGGTGGAGCTCGTCGACGATAATCATTTCCTTCATCATAATATTGTTGGTGACGATAACCACCACCTCGTCCTCTTTGAGCTGGAGGAATATAATCATTTAAATGTAATTGATTTCGATCATCACCACCACCGCCACCACCACGTCTGAAAATGAACGATAAACTATAGATTTAACAGAGGAATTATAAGACTATTAAGTTAATAAGGCGTTTCATAAAAAAATGTCATTTTCTCTCTGAATGTATTACATCGATGTCAGAAGCCACCAAACCCAATAGTTTAACTTCCAAAAGTCTTTTGTTTGAAAAATGTGTCAATATTAAGTTTTTATCACTTTCATATTCTTATGAGAAAAAAAAAGACAGCAAAATATAGCATGTAAAAGTTATGCTCGTTTTTGTTTCAACGGATCATTCAAACTTTTTATAAATTATACTAAAAGATAGAAAATTAAAAACTGAACAAATTGAGCTATTTCAATATAATATTAAGTCAACAGACTCAAGTTTTCAAAGGTGAATATTTACAGAAAATAGCTTGTTCGATGAGTCTAAAATGTCCATTTGCTAACGGTTTGTCTCTTTTTCGAACTCAGAATCAGAGAATTCCCAGCTAAACTTTACATAATTGTTATGCAAATATTGAGTCTCTGCAAAATGTTAAAAGGATAGCCAGGAAAAATGGTATCTTAGGGATCCGGAATCAGTTTTGCAGAGAAAAAAAATCTTCTAATATCGATTTGATTCAATGTGATTTTTTCCAGTGAAAAATCAATATGTAGGAGATAGATTTGAATCTCGTTTTACCACGAAGATACCATTTTGTAGAGAAGATGTTACATAACATACATATAAAACTCAGCTTGAAAGTCTCTGATTGTGAATACCAACTAGAGATGTGCGAAACAAAGTTCTCTTGGTTTCGATCTGAATGATTTTACTTGTTCAGGGTTCAATCTCGAGGAAAGTGCCAGATTTTATTCTCGTCACATCTAAAAAGCTCAATATTTGTTTATTTGATCGATTCAGTCGACAACTAGCATTTTTTTGGATCATCTCTCTTAAATAATGATTTGATTTATACAATAATTCGCTTAAAAACCATAGAGTAGTTAAAAATAACGTTAGTTCCAGTTAAGAAAACATTTTTTCCTGTAGTCCTAGCTTCAGTCTCAGCAATTTTATTTTCATGGTCCTACACATCCCAGATCCTAGAACATAATATATTGCTATTCAAGAGATATGCCAAACCCATCGGTTTGCATAGAGACAAAAACGTCGGCATGGTCTAACTTCTCAAAAAAAAACCTATTGGAAGCTTGAATTTTTGAGTTTCAGACTTCAATGGATTGAATGGACGAAGAAGCTTTTTTGTCATCAAGTACTTCGAATACTCGATGGTCTCATGATTTCTTTCTTAAATTTTGACAACGAGACTAACCTGAAATGACCACGTCTTTGTCCTCTATAATTTGACTGACGAGTGTTTGATTCATCTTCATTATCATAATATAAATCATGTTGCCATTTAGCATCTGAATCTCTATAGAGACGATTTCGATTTCTTGCTGGTTCTCTTAAAAAAAAACAAAGGTGAGTTTTTTGTTGAACGAAAAAGAATTTTGTTTTATATCAATACGAACTGCTTTCCTTGTTCTGGTTCATCATTTGTTCGATCATCATGTTCATAAAATTTCCCTTTACGTGGAATATAAGCTGGATTTCGAGCATCATTATCGTCATCAAGTGGTTCCAGATTTTTTTCCGATTTCTAATAAAATTTGAAAAATTTATTAAATAGAAAAACAAATTTTTTTATTTTTTTTAAAGACCTTTTCTGTTCGTCGAGTTGATTTCGCTTTATTATTTGGTATATTTTGATTATCATCATCTTCATAACCTTCTGAGTGTTCATTTTCATCATGTTTTTTAGGTAAACGACGAGGTTTTATATTAATACGTTCATCATCTTCTTCATTGCCACTCTAAATTTTAAAAAACAATGAAAATAAATAAGTATTTGACATGTTTTGTTGTTATACTTGATTTGGTGTTTTATTTGAAACCTGTAAAGGATTTTTCTCATCAATTTCTTCTTCTTCTCCTTCATCGTCGACATCTTCATATTCGGAATCATTATCATCATAGACGTCTTCGTCCTCTTCTATTGTCTTTTCAGCATCTTGAAATTGTCTTTCACTTGATGGTTCTTTAGACTGAGACTCTGTTTCTTTTGTATTTATATTAGATGAGGTTTCTGAAACAAATAACAAAAACAAATTAAATGCAATTTATTTGTAGAAATTTAACCTAGAATTTGTTTTTTTTCTTCAGTCTTATTTTCATCAGTCTTATTCTCATCCGTTTTATTTTCATCCGTTTTATTTTCATCAGTAACATTTTCATTAGTAGTTTCTTCGGCTGGTGCAACAGTTGCTTCTTGATTAGATTCATCTGAAGGAAAAAAGAAAATACAATACTAAAGATCTTGAAATAAGTCTTGCTACCGTTTGTAACTGTTGTTGTTGGTGTTGGTGTTGTTGTTTCTTGCTGCTCGGTGTTGTTTGTTGAGGCTATATCCTCATTGACGCATAATACAGGATTAGGTTCTGTCATTCTCGGTGAGATTAGTTCGAAAACAAAAAAAAACAACTTGTGTATGAATAATGATAACAACAAAAAAGATAGTTTATGAACCAATCAAATGATAACTATTCATTTATGAAAATATTTATCGAAATTTCAATTAATTTTTTCTGATGTTCAATTGACACTTTCTGTTTTCAATAAAAAAGAAAAATGTATTTCTAATGAATTCAAGATAACCAATGATGAACGGAGGTCGTATCCTAGCAACGAGTTATAATAATGAAAGAATATTGGTATTATTATGTTTAATGTGACTGCATCAGAGAAAGAGCAAACTAAATCTTTTTCTATATAGTTGCTCGAACAGCTCGTGAAATACCTCAGTACCTTGAGGATTTTTATCTAGCATATAAAGTTGTTACACCAAAATGTTAAAATATTAAAAAACATCCTTCTGTTGTTCTCTTCAATTTGTATCTACTATGAGCAACTTCTTATACAATAATATCGTTCAATTCCCTTTATAAGTTTGATTTCGATTATCCGACATTACGAACAAGCACATGCATCAAAATCAATTAAAAAAATAATTTTGAATGAAATTTAGAATTACTCATTGATTCATCTTACGCTCATCAAGCGAAGAGTTGGTTTTTTTTTCAAATAATTTTTGATAAAATGAGTTATTTTATGAGTAGAATCAAGCTATTCGGGCAGTGAAACCTGGACGATATCCTATGAAGACAAGCTCTTACCCTGATGTCAATGCTCAAGGTTGGTATTTCAAGTCATTTGATTCACGTTCAGTTGCTCTAATAACAAATAAAAGCAATAATATAAAACATCGATCACAACATATATCTGCTAATGTACCAAAAAGAAGGTCTCCATCACAACAACATAGTGGTAGAAAAAGAAAAAAAAAAGATTTTTCTGTTTCTATGAGTTTTTCATTTTTTATTCTATTTAGATCTATTACAACAACCAAATGAATTTTAAGTTATTTGTTTTGTCTTTTTCTTGTATTTATATTTCTTTTTTTCCTAAAAAAAAGCATTAATGGTTAAAAGATCAAAAACAATTGAAATGTGATCATCTTTTATAGCATTTCTATATCTATCATAATAACACAATTAATACATTTTTCCATATCACAAAAAAGAATATTTATCATTTCATTCAATGTCAAATAAGAAACAACACTGTATAACCGAAAGTGAATAACTTACAATGTCTACATTTGAGTGTACATGATGAGAAATAATATTTTCATATTTGAGAGAAAGAAAAGAAATTATAATGAATCATTTTCTCCCGAATATGGCACATGTGACTAAAGTAAGTAAAGCCTTCGTGGCAACTTGATGAGTCATCAACAGACTATTTATATTAGTCTCGATTTTTTATATCATTCATGTCTTAAACAAAACCAAATATGGGAGCTGCTATTCCTCATCTTGTTCTACTTGGTGATAGTACACTTGACAATAGATTTTATGTGGGAAAGGGAAATCCTTCTATAATTGATCAACTTAAACTTAAAACTAAAGAACGAGGTTGGAATGCAACATCAGTTGCTGTCGATGGACATTCAATTTCACATATATCTACTCAATTGACAAGAATACCGCAAGATGCTACACACTTATTTATTTCAATTGGTACAACTTAATTTGTATGATTTTATAAAAAATTTATATTGAAATAGTTTTAGGTGGAAATGATGCTCTTTCTTATATGCAACGTTTACAAGAATCAGTTCAAAATGTTGGAGAAGCATTAATTTTGTTAAGCGAATTTAGAAAAGAATTCGAAAAAGTATTAAAAAGATTGTTCTTTTTCGATGTAATATTTATATTTATAGGATTATATTGAAATGCTAAAACATGTAAGTGAATGTAAAATTCCTACAACAATATGCACAATGTATAAACCAAATTTTGATAATCCTCAACAACAACTTATGTGCGAAACTGGATTATTAGTACTAAATGATGTTATCGTGGCGGAATCAACTAAAGTATTTGTAAACTTATATAATCAAATTTATGAGTGTTTTTTTTTGTCATAGCTTGGTATTCCTATTATTGATCTTAAATCAATCTTTAATGATCCAAAAGATTATGCGAATCATATTGAACCTGATGTTCAAGGTGGATCGAAAATTGTCGAAAATATTCTTTATGTTATGAGCCATCATCGATTCGACGAAAATATTTGTTCTATCTATGCTAAAGGAAGTAAATGAATACGATCGTAGTTAGTTGATTAAGATAATTTTTTTGTATTAATTATTTCTAAAGTAAAACTTACGATGAATTCAGCTTATGATCAAACGACAATCTTATGAATGAATAGTCTTTATCTTTTTATCTTGTAAAACTTAGTTGTAATTAAAAACCACGTTTGTGGAACAGATGATAATATTTTTCTATGGACTAAAGGTGAATAAAGAAAACACACAAATGGATCAGCAGTGTTCAGACTTCCGAAAAAAGAAATTTTGGAAGTTTTGGAAATTTCAAGCACTTGTGTTCTAAATTGTTTGGTACTTTCCAAAATTATATAATTTCCGAAATTTCTGAAATTTTCAAAATTCTGTACGTAGCGAAGTTTCAGAAATTACAGAAAATTCTAAAATTTCTAAACTTTTCAATATTTCCAAAAAATTTTCGTTTGCTTTGCTATGTAGTTATCGAGTTGATGGAAGTTTCGGAAATTTCTGTAATTTCCTTTTTCGGAAATCTGAACATGCCTCAAATGGATATATATGCAGCAGTTTAAACGTCTCAGTCTCATGGATTAGAGTTTTAACTTTATTTCACAAGGTGCACACGATCGTAAAGTGACGACACCCAGAGATTTTATTGAGACTCGAGAAAACACATTTCTGCTTTATTTTCTGATTTGAATTTTTCAAGTTTCTACATTCTTGTTTTTTTTGTTTCAAAACTTTGATTATAGAAGCGTTTTTCTTCGCAAATCATTCCTTTTCCTTGAAGTCGAAGTCACTCTTCTTGAAAAAAGATGCATCAGATTATTCCATTATATGAAATTCATCGTAAATCCCTTGACACATTAGAAGACCTTCCTATATTAGAAGACCCCCATTGAATAAATGCCGCAAAAGACAGATTAGAAGATTCCCTAAAAAACCAATATTTTGAAGTAGTTTCTGGGGTTTATTGACTTTTTTAGTATTAAAATCCATCATTACATCTAAATTCAGTACGAACAATATTTTGCTTCCGTTCTTATCAACAAAGTGTCAAATCCGAGCGAGTAAAATATTGAGAAGCAGCTAATAGAAAACATCTATCTATTAAAGATTACATCTCTTTGTTAAAAACATAGCGTGGAGTCATTTTAGTACTTCTTTGCAGCTTACTCTGAAAACATTCTTCAGGTTCTATATGCGAGACACACTATTCTATGGTCATAGGAGCTAATGAACACAGTACGTATTCGCGCGTGAAATACATGAAGAGATCTTCGTACAATAATAACAGATTAAGTAAAATGCGGCTGTGTATTAATTAAAAGACCTCTTCATCTTTGACTTTCTTCTAGAAAATCAGAAACGTTTGTACCACAAAATAGTCTTTCATAATTGAAGAAAACAACTTCATGTATATACATCGTGGTTTTATGTGTGAGAACTTCTTTTGAATTCGAGAACGCATTTCTTTTCTCAATAAGATCTAAAGGCATTTTTTGAAATAGACACAAAAGAAAACACAGAGTGTGTATTCAACTGCTGATTTTCTATAAATGGTGTTCTTCACAAAATAACCTTATTCATTGAAGTTAGCTTGAGACTACTAACTATGCTACTGGCAGAATCCACTGTGAACGAATTTCATCTATACTCATCAAATCTCCACATAAGCAACTGAATTAGATGAGCTTGATAAAAAAAGTTAATTTTCTTTTTTTTATTTATTTCGTTATTGCAAACATAAAATGTTGCTAGTGATAGATCTTCGCCCTGAGAAAAAGAACACTAGTGGGTATCATACCAAAATGCTAGGCTACGTTGACTGTATAGTTCTAAGAACACTTCTTTCCAACAATGGTCTCCCCTTTTTCACAGGATAGTATCTGTCTCTTTTATATTCTACACACGTAAAGTAAGTAAAGAAAACTCATTTACTGACGATATATGGGACAAAATTCGAGTGAAACTAGGATTTGTTGGCGGAACTATCAAAAAATATAATTTTTTTAGGGACATCTTAGAAGACCCCCTTTTAACATATGAACGATAAGCCGGAATAGAAGACTCCGAGTCTTCTAATGTGACAATGGCTTTATTATAACCAATACGTTTTATTCAACCAAGAATCAAATGATTGCTGAGCATTACAAGTGGTCATTAATATATTTGTATTTGCTGTTCCTTTTACAGCATATTTCACACTAACAAGAGAGATAGTAATGAGTGAAGAACGGAAACTTAGATTAATAGATGATCAAAAAGACAAAATTCGTGGGAGTCAGCAGTCAGAAGCATTATATAATAAAGAATCAGAAGCCTTAAACCATTACTGTAGTAATTAAGAGACAGATGCGATTAATCGACGTCATTCATTAGACTGTTATAAGATGAGACAAGTGCAGCATGTTTCAAGTCCGGGCCAGTTTGACCGTTCAGAACAATGTTAGTGTTGCTAAAGAAAAAACTTCTACTGATTACAACTGTGTTATTGACAAATATCTATTTTATCATGACTATTATTCCAATTAGATAGATTGTTTATTTTCTACTATACCATAAATCAATAGATTTTGTCGATCGTTTTAGAAATGCGTCAAGTTCATTACAAAAATGAACTTGTTTCAGATGTAAGAGGGATAGTATGTAGTAGTATATGAATATTGTTTGGTCCTTCAGATGATTGTTGCAAATCTTCAAGTATATTTGTATTTTTGATAGTTGTTGGAAAGTAGTAATAAACATCTTCCAATGCTCTAACATCCTTTAAAATTATATTTGATATTAATCAAGCGAGTTTCTTGCGGAATAT